AAAAGGATAGACAATGGGGGACTGACGAACACCACGTGAGGTCGATAATTTTGGTGAGTCTGCTATAAGCTGTTCTAATAGAAAGTAGTTTGCAAACTTCTTTGGTACCTGTTTCAATGACTTTAGATTTGGGTCCACTAACTGACTTAGCACTTAATAATTCATGTGACCAAAATTGTTTGCAAACGTAATTTGAATCAAGAAATCTGATATTTTATATACAAGGTTTCCAGAGTTTGAAACCTATTCTATCAACGACAAGTAAAGTTGAATTTGGATGTTTTCGTCATTCACTAGAGCTGTTGTTAGCTTATATTTCTAAAAGTTACATCTAAAGATTATAAATAGTTGCCGCAAAATCGACAAATGTGGGAAAAGTTCATTCTTGAGAGCTAAAACCTGGTTGGATGCCATGAAGACAGTTTGCGTGCCCAATGTCAAGACACAAGTGGATTTAGATCTACATTGTACATCAATTGATATAGTGGACTTAACGAAACATCAAGGTGTCTCTAACATAACTATTTAGTGATTTCTCTCCTATTTTCAAAATGAAAACGCTTCATACATATCTGCATTAGTGTTAAATGAATTTCTATCAAGATTTAAATCTGCAATCTTTATTAGCTGACTAAAATGATTAAAATCAGTTTTTCTTTGGATGGATTTGTCTTTGGTCTAATAATACTTCACTGTTACTTTATATATGCCTATAATCGAACTATAAGACTAATATATTCGTTCTTTGCTTCAATCTATTTGAAGCTCGTATATTGCTAAATATACTATACTTTGAAATTCATTCAAAGATATAGTTGAGATTAAGAAATCTGGACGACTACTAGTTAGTTATCTACTCAACGTATTATTCATCATAAAAACATAACGTAACTTGAGGTTTTTATCTCAAAAGTCCCAAATAGTTAGCATATCATGACTTTGTTTTTTATTTGCTATGGACAGTTTAAGGACCTATAAGAATAAAATTACTTACTAATAGGACTCAGTTATATGGGAAAAATTATATAAACCATTCTCTATTTCTTAAGCACTGACTGAGAAATTTTGACGATGAATTTTGAGTTATTCGTGCGAAATTCCATGATACATCAGAAAGATGTCAGGAAATAAGATGAGAATAGAAAACCAACATACATAACTCTACTTCATATTCAAGTAAGCATCAAGTTTTTTACAATATAAAGGGTTTATGTTGAAAATTTTTCATGTATAGGTTGTAGAAATAACCTCGGATTCCATTTTTATTTACAATGGCAAGATTCCGGCACGGTAGTTATTTTTCCTTTCAAAACCAGATGTCATTGTACTACTAATTCAACAGCTTATCCCTTTTAGCTACATCTGAAAATGACTACTAGCTTCATTATGCAGAGCACAGCCAATTGACGTGTATTTGTGACTACGGATAGATGCAATCATTGGACAATTTACAATGAGGCAAGTAGACTGACATGTCGAAGGGAAAAAAGAACGACTATAAAATAGGTAATGAAGTGCATCGAGCCAAACCAGTCGTGAAAAACACCTTAGCTGTTTGCCATGGAATCAGCTCCAGTTCACGACATTCTTAAGTTTCGATTACACTTATATGTGAGGTAGGCTGTTGTGTTATCCAAAAACAATAAAAACCGTTGTTACAAAAACTAGCTTCAGAAACCCAGTCAAATATCCGACAACTATTGCTAGGTTAAATAAACTCTTGATCTAGGAAGATTTTTATGAAGTAACCCACTATGAAGATTTCTTTGAATCAAAGCTACCATTATAACTGGTGGTTTTAAAATTAAATCAAGAGCGGAAATATTCGTAAAGTCATTATGAGACTAACAGCGGCTATCAATTTTGAATCCATGTGCTCATGGATAAATTTAGAACATACTCTATCAATAAACCTACACAACTAAGGTGATTTGACATCTTCCTAAAACAATTAAAGCGGCTAACATAAAGTGATCGTATGATAATACATAGTAGATATTACTTAAAGATTATTTCTCTTTAAGTATCCCACGCAATATTACAGTAAATGAACATAGTATAAAATTAATGGAACATATGCATAGATTGAACCAATAGACGCTATCCTAAGAAAAAAAGTTATCGGCAGCAAAATGAAGTAGATTATACAATTAGATTGCGATATTAAAACAATCGGAACCATAGTTGACTATTTCTACAAAATGAAGTGTACTAGCATGAACATTTGTTAAGTATAAATAATTCAATACCACTCTATCAGTTTAAGTGAAAGAAATCACAAATAAAACCATGCGATTATTTGAAAGAATAATCATAATACAAAAGAAATTGATTACCTGATTTTATCAATTCATTCCTGAAGTCAGACTGAAAAGCTTAACCAATACAGATTTTGTAAATAAAGTAGAAAAACAATATTTCATAATGTTAAGGAAAAAAGGGAAACATGAACAAAAATAATAACAACCGACAACCCAAAAATCAAATTACATGAGAAGTAAATAAAAACAGGGAAATAGGCAACAAAACGAATAGTAATAAGCAATCAGGAATAAGTTGAAAGAAAATGTTAAAATTATATCCAAATTAACAGGCAAAATATAACTAATGACATTAGCTTAATGACATATAATAAACCTTAGTGAACCAATGATTAGTATAAATATTTAAGAGACTAACATGTAATTAATAAACAAACGATATCCAACAGTTGAGTATATTTTAAACACTTTTTGCGTTCACGATAATGTCAATAACCCAATAAATTGTTATTACGGAAAGTACAGTTTCCATCAACAAGCTTAAAACAAATGCAGAACCAGTGGAAACTAAGTAGGATTTGCATGCTACATACTTACAGTTTTAAACTTCACTTGGCAAGGCATACCACCCTTGATTTCATAATAATCAATGCGTATAAATCTGTCACTTCAACTATCAGTCATGATCCAGCATAACCATTAAGGTTTAATCGGTCAGGTATCGTTTTCTACTGTTGATCTTGACCACTCCTACGTACTCATGAAAAAGTATTGACAGTTTGAAAGTCATGAACTTCAAGCTTTCATTTCAGAATTAATAACAGAGATGATAAGGGAGTAACTGATTTAACTATTTAATGCCATAAGTATTGAATAAGATTCATTCGATACTTGAATTTCTCAACATCTATGGTAAAAATTATAAACATTGAACCATAGCTAAAACTTAGATTGCAAACTTTATATTCATCATCCAACTAAATCGTTCATTTCCGGTCAGTGCAATTAGATGAGGACCAACTTTAATACAAACCGGAACCACTAGTTAATAAAGATAAAGTTCATGATAAAACTCATGTTTTAGACTGAAAACCTTGTAGTGTCACAAAACATGTAATAATAGTAGCTTTCATACCAAGTCATAGTTTTAAATCATAATTTGTCCACGATGCTAACGGAAACCAATATTTAGTTAAATCGCCACATTATAAATCTACAACTGTGCCACTGAGGAAATTCGATTCCAGTAAAACATTTGAAGGTAGTCGGTCGAATTATTTACCCAATAACCAAATCATCTAGGCATCACACTAATATGAGTGTGATTTAGCATCAAAGTAAAAACCGAATCTGACCCAATTACAACGATCAAATGTATCCATCAGAAAATCAAAAATATGACGTGAATAAGCATAACCAAAGACCATTATATATTTTGTTGATTTGGTGAAGACGCTGACAAAATGCAGAGTCTTTTGATCACTCTAAGCAACAATGCAAGCATGTTCGGGATGCGATTCTCTCCCTCGAAATGCAAAATGTTGATTCAGGATTGGGTTGCATCGACACCCGAACTAATGATAGGGAGTGAAGTAATTGAGCGTGTCGATCGCTTCACTTATCTTGGAAGTCTCGTCAGTCCTTGTGGTCTGGTGTGTGACGAAATCTCAGCACGGATAGTGAAGGCTCGATTAACTTTTATCAACTTGCGTCATTTATGGCGTAGGCGAGATATCTGTCTATCAACCAAAGGATGTGTTTACTGCACAACAGTTCGTTCCGTCCTACTTTATGGCAGTGAAACATGGCTGGTAAGAGTAGAGGATATTCGTAGGTTACTAGTATTCGATCATAGGTGCCTTCGAAATATTGCTCGTATATCCTGGGACCATGGAGTAAGTAATGCAGTTGTTAGGAAACGGGTACTAGGTAAGGATGGCAAATCAATTGATGAAGTGGTGAAACTTCATCAGTTGAGATGGCTGGGACGTGTTACGTATGCCCAACCACCGACTGCATCGACGTGCGATGTTCAGTGGTATAGGAGTAGGTTGGAAGAAAGCTAGGGGCGGCCAGAACAAAACATGGCACAAGTCCATGAAGTCACTGACAAGTGGTCTGTCATATTGGTAGGTGTAGACGAGCTGGTTGGTGACCACGAGATGATAGCAACCGATGGTTAGAGACCCTGAATGACATGGCTCAAAATCGTTTGCAATGGCGCAGGTGCATCCACTCTTTGTGTTTTCCCAAAGTCTAATCTTCTGAGTTCTTCATGTACCTTTCTTTTTTCTCTTTCCAAATTTATTTCACTGGATTATACTCAATGAATAACATCTTCAAACCCTAATTTTTCTGATTACAGCTTATAATTTTACTACATCTAGCACTACGGGATTTGAATCGACCACTGCATCTATGTGCCAATGTGGTGTGGCAACTCGAACTAATGTACGTACGTACGAAGTTCTACGTTGTTACTGACTGTCTGACTGATATATTTTGTTACAAATAACAATTAACTATGAAAATCTTGTGGAGAAAAGTAATACAGAATGTACAAATCAGTTTCAGGGTTCGTATAAAAGTCTTCAAGCAACAAGCATAATAAGACTAAACATTGAGAAAACTGTTTGAAAAGATAAATGTGGAAGAATACTGGAGTTTGAGATCTAGAGTAAAGTAAGGAGTAAATGTATCTGGCCCATGACGCATGTCTCTAACCATTGATTACAGACATCGTGTGGACGCCGCAACTAGGCAGTGTGCATCTACTAAAATGATTTAGACCAAAAGTCAATGAGCCCATAATTTGATGCAACATTTTAGTCTGGCCATCTTTAGTTTTCTTACAATTCGCTCATACATCAGCTAACACCAGTAAAAGATATACATAATACTCATAAAATTACTGTTTGCTACAAAAATGTAATTCAGCTTGGTGAATATCTTTTAATTTAATACATCCAAAATGGTTATTTAGAAATGATTTGATCATTAAAAAGCCAGACAGGGAAATTAGAAGATGCGTATCTTTCAATTATTTCTACGAACACATCACCAAACCTGTACATAATTTGGTAAAATACACAAATTCATTATCACCAACTAAAATATACTCAATCACATGCATATAAAATCAACGACGAAGTGGCAGTGTGGAAATTACACAACAACGAGATGTGAATGAAAGGAAAACCACAAAAACAAACCTCACCAAAAACCGAAACCCATGCAAGTTTGACAACTTACAGAGAGACGAATGTTTATAATGATGATTTTTTGACTAAATAGCATGAAATTGCAATATGAAAATTAAACTACAAAGAATCAAGAAACTTGGAAAAAATATGAATGAAAAGAAATTTGTACAAAAAGTCCCAATATTTTATTAATTAAAAACAAATAAACACTGAAGTTGTTATGTTGAATAGTTAGATGGAATGTTTTTGTTAGCTTGATTAGACGGAATATTTGAAGGAGTTGCATATGAGGAAGAACCATTTGTAGAAAGCGTACTCGGAGTGTTTACAGATTGCCTTGATAAACGTCTAACAACGTTGATATGTTCTGCATATTGTGTCATTGTTAGTCGAACGCAAACATGAGATAATGGAGAATCATCTTGCAGGAAGTTATTTTCCACTGGGAAAGTTAATTGACTGGGTGGCCAACGTGGAGCATCAAATGTGCCTGTTTCAACAGCTTGCAAAAAAGATGGGCTAAATATATGTTCTGTTGAACTATTAGCTGGTGGACAAATATCGGGTAATACTTGGGTAATAAAAGCTTTTAATACATCACGACACAGATGTATCATGCATGATGCATGAAAACAAACCTACAAAACAAAGTGTAATAAAATCAAATTATAGACAGAAAAAAATGAAATCTAAAATAATATTTTTCATGTTTTAGTTGGTTGTTTAAGTTTTGAGATAGTTTGCATCAGACTAACTTCAGTTGAAACATTCAAGCAGCACTGGTTAATTTACTGTTTTGTCACAGTTTGTGACAGCGCTGTGCCAGTGATCAACAGGCTGAAGACGAACAACCCTCAAAGCAAGTGAATCAGTGGTTCACGCAGCCAATTTTATTCGACTAGTAATAAATGGTGTTGACCGTTTATTGTTATGAATGACACCAGTGTTGGTCTGTAAATTGCTGAACTTCAATCAGTCATATCTAGTGCTCCCTAGTTTTTAATCGTTCACCAGTAAAAGTCGGTTTATGACAAAAATAAGGCGTGTACAAATAAATGACCTAAATTGTAATCTTTGCTTCCTATATTTTGAAGGATGAAATGAACATTGGTTTCCTCGCAATACCATGTGGTCCACAGTTTTTAATACCAGCATACTGACTCTTGGAAATAATAGGAATAAATCTGGAGAGCTTTGGAGACATTTACAACAGAAGTTGACAATAATGTCGATGAGCATTATAAGAACATACTCAATAAATGAGTAATAAATCAATTTATTTAACATTATCCAAATACAGGTTAAATAGTTTCTTAATGTTCAATTCTGCGAAGCCAATATTAAGGATCACCAAAGCACTTTCTAAAACAAAGAAGAGAAGGATTCCAGTGGATGTCACTCAGTGGTACGCGCCAACAAATAACAGCACCGACGGTGACAAATATCAGTTTAATGAGGTTGCAGTTCATTCCTTAGAAATACCCAGAAAAACACCAGATTATTCTCACAGAAGACCCAAACCCCAAGGCTGAAATGGATAACACTGGGTATGCATGCATCATGGGGTTAAAGAGACTGGGGGGAAGAAACAAGAATCAAAAGATACTGTTAGGTGTATGTCCTTTCAATGACATGGTTTAGGCAGCAGCACCTTCCCCAAAAAGCGCATACACAAAGTTACAAGGGTTTCACTGGGCCTTACTACAGGAAACCAGATCGACTATAGCTGGATTAATAAAAAAATTCATAAAGGTTCATGAAAGACGTAAGAAAGAAGAGATCAACTGATATAGTTAAAACTGAAGCTAAAGAAGTATTGACTTCCTGGACAATCAGCACCATAAAAATTAATACAGCTCACCTTCCAGATGCTAACACCCCCAATGAGTTCAAAACAGATCTCAACAACAAGTTCCAAGCCTTACAAGATCCATTAGAAGAGGAAAACAGGAAGGGGAACTGGAAAAGATTAAAGCACGAATAACTTCAGCATGCTAGGAAATCCTGAGATCCAAGAAACACCAGTATAAAGAACTAATCGCTGTAGACACTCTGGGAAAGATTCGAGAAAGAAAAAACAAAAGAGCATGAGTCAACAACAGCTGAACAAAGCAGAGAAAGCCACGACACAGGATAAATATACAGAAGCAAACAAATGAAAATAATCGAGTTGGCCATTAGCAGCTCACAGATGCATTCCAAAGGTAATCTGATGTGATACAAGACTCTCTACTCTCACTTTAACTCTTTCTGCTAGCTGTTGACTGAATCACGAGGATCTTCACATCGCAAGAAAAATACAGAATACAGTAGAAATCTTGAGTCCAGTTGGATGATTTGGACTTTGTAGTTGATAAACCATTCTATCTCATAAACAACAGTAAATTCAGGTGAAAAGAAAACAGTGTAGCAGGGCCTTTTGAAGTGGGTCTCAACATTTACAAGGAGAAAAGACCATGAAGAACAACACAGCAAGCAACAACAAAATCACACCTGGTGAAGAAGTTTTGGAAGACGTGTCTTTACACATCTGGATAGCATTATTGATAACCAAAGAGGATCTGATGATGTCATGGTACGGACTTGCAAACATACAGCGCCTGGAATCGGAGGCAGAAGTCTATACCACGAATACCACTCCATAACAACTGAAAATAAGAACCCAAAATAGAGTTGCCTAGAGATCTCCAGTCAATGGGCTTGCCCGAACAGCGATAGGAGTAGTGGTAGTTTACCACGACTATTACTACTGTAGTGAATAAGAACACGAGTGGGGACAACCGAATGTATTTGACACGAAATTACAGAGCATCTCAATAAAATGTGAGAACCATATAGTAAATAGTTAATTTGCAAAATATCAATCCATCGTCTCAAACTTGACCGTTCCTTTTGGAAACATCAGTCCATTGTCTCAGATTTCATTGTTAATGCATTTTCATACCAATTGCGTTCCGTTCCCGTTCTTTCCTTCTCTATCTTTTGCTGAAATACATTTTATGCCCGACCACCGTTATATACTACTTATGTGAATATAAGTAACCCACACCACACTACCACTATTACACAAGAATATTCTGATTGATACAAGATCAGTTTTATGTTACGTTCGCGCCCCAGAGTGTTTAACTAGAATTCAAATCAAGCATTTTGAAGTGTTGAACATGATGAAGGGAACTATATATATGCAAACGATGTGGGACGGTTCAAAATGTAAATCTAGTGTTAAAAACATGCATTTTGCCGGATCCGCACGTGAGTTCAATACGAGTATAGGAAAATAAGAAATAATAGCAACAAAACTATTTATTCCTGGTATAGCATCTATTAAACGACATTGTAAAGTCTTCAAGGAAACAATTACCCAAAAATTGAAGATAATAACTACTATACGGTCCTTTTTCACTGCAAAAATAACATTATTGGTCTATAAGAAGCAAAATACTGATACAGAACATCCAAAAAATAACATACGAGATAGACTTCACTACAAACTGATAAATTTCTATGATCACAAAGATATTTATACGGTAAACAACCTGTTAACAAGTACGGTAAGTTTAATTTTAGTTTGCTTTACAAGCTAGAATCACTCAAGAAACAATTGAAGCCCCAAAGAAACTGATAGTTTTACAACCGACTTTTTTTCCATGATACAATCTAGAGTGCACAGAAATTTATCAGGACAACAGTGTACAATAATGACCCAAACAATAGTCAACACGTTTCTACATCGGTTTTTAGTGACATTAATCTAAGAAATCTCAACAAACAATGAAAGCTATCATTGTTACAGTGAGTAGAAATAGGTAATCCCTGATTGTTTTGTGACACATTTTTAATTTTGTGTATTTCGATAACAGAATCATGTTATTGCGACCGAACATTTCATATGTAAATAATAGCTTGTTCTAATTCACAATATGGGGATTTTTTTAATTTTGAAGTCACTTGGGGGATCTGATTTTATTTAAGGTACTCAACGAGTTCCTAAGGTTTAATGCCTGGCTCACAGAAGCGAAAACATAGATGGAATTCATTAATGATTGTATACATATTGGAAATTTTTACGCCGGAACAAAATCTATCCTAATGCTAGAACCCTTAAACGAAAGGCACTCAACCAAACAGAATTACTAAAAATGAATATAATCTATCTCGGAAGAAATATTTCACAAAGAAAATCTACTGTTGCTTATATATGTTGTTCCAATACCATATCTCATCGAACCCATTATGTCGTTGTGACTGTTATATTACTGATGAAATTTATTCAATGGCAAACAATCACAACAGTTTTACATTATACTTACCTCGATTAAATATCCTTTAACGGAAGCACTCTGTCCCATGAATATTGTAATAAAATTAATTGTAAAATCACCCAACTGATACTTTATTCCTTTAGCTTCAACTTGTAATTTCTTTTTACGTTGATAAAAAGCTTTTAAGCACCCTGGGAATTCACGAAAAGATATATCGGCTACAAGAGCTGTTTGATTGTCAGAGAATACAAAACATGATGCTGGATATTCAGTTGATGTGAGAACTTGAAACGTTTTACACTGAGCTAGCGATATATGCGTAATTTTGTTGTTAGAACAGAAAACTACTTACATCTAGCAAGGTTTGAAAAGTAAACTGCGCTCTCTATATGTATTCGACCGCACTTTTGTGCACCTAGTTTTGTTCATATTCAAATACCATTAACTGACAAACCAAGAAGTTCTAGTTTCTTCATAAGATTCTCAAGAATCTGTGGATCACTGTTTCCTTCAGATGAGTTGAGCAATAACACACTGAAAATCTAGAATGTAAGTAGCGATAAAAACTTACCACGAAACTCCTGCCATTTGGTCAATCTAAAATATAAAAATGTGTACAAAAGTGGTGAGCACTATGATTATTTTTTCGAGTGATGTGATAAAACTGACTACAGGGCTAACACTATAAATATTGCGACAGGAGCTGGTATCCTGAAGTGGTATTCGGGTTTACATATTGTGACAACCCAATTGAGCTGCACGAGCTGAAGCATTCACTCCTTTAAGTCCTATCATGTCAGGCAGGATCGTTGGAGAGTGATAAGATCAAAAACAATAAACTCGTGATCCGAGGATGAAGTTTTACTTCCAACTGCATAGGGCTGAGACAATAGTAAGGTCAGTCAGTCATCTACAACGTAGGATCAGGAGCATATATGCATCAGTCCAAGTTGCCACACCGCATTAGCACATTAAGATGAACACCGGATTCATAGAAGTAGTTAAGTCAATTGTGGTAATATATACAAGAAAGATTGCATATAGGGATATAATGCATGAAGAAAGAATTAGTTCGTAGAAAGGAAGGTATGAAATAGTTTTAATCTCAGTTTAAGGGAAGATAGGAAGTGTATACACTTACACCATTATGGTCAATCCTGAGACATATCACCCAAAGTCTCCGACCATTGGTTAACATAGTCACGCGGACCCCAACTAAGTAGTCTGCATTTACCAACATGGCTCACACTAGAAGTTAGTGACCTCAAGGACTGATGTCACGTTTTGGTTTTATTTTATTTATTTATTTGGTACAATGAGGCAAGAAATAGTTATGCGCCACATAAATCATTCGATTTGTATGACGGTTGGGATACTGCCCGGATGCTCAAACCGAAACAGGTGGTTTTCTTAGGGGATCACACCCGGAGCCTTCCACCTAAAGTTCTAATCCACAAGGCAGTGGAGCAACGTCAGGAGATGTAGTCCCACGGTAGCCGGTGATCAACAATTGGTTCACATGCCATTTTTTCCTTCAGGATCATACAGCCCACATGCGCCACAGGTTTGGAATCGGGGATCTCCAACTCTCCGTGTCCACCAACCTGGTTAAAGCGCCGGACATCCGCTTACCGTCCTCTCAATTTCCTAAATATCCCCCCCGCCACGAGGAGTGAGAACTTCCCTGAAAGTGGCTGTATACGTGTGGCCATGTGAGAACATTTCGAGAGGGAGAGCTGACTCTCCCCACTCTCGGCCGTACCAGGGCATTTTGGGGCTTAGTGCTACACCTAAAGCCACCAGTCCACGAGAACTTGCCATCGAGTCACCAGATACACGGAGGGTGTATTTCGTCGTCTCCCCGTTTTAGCTAGGTGAAGTTAAATGAATGACTACACTAGGATCCAGTATGTGTGTTTCGGAGATACAGCACATATCGATTGTACGAGATTATAGGGTCTCAGACAAGGAAGCAAGCTGGCCGATTCGACTTAGGGTATGTACGTTGAAGGCTCCAATGTGTAGTTTGGAGCGATGTCTTATTAGGCCTGGGATAGTATTTCTCGCACTAGAGTGACACTTGAGGAGGAAGTTTAAAGTTGACAGTCAAAGTAGGGGGAATAACAGGAATTGAAGAGGAAAATTGATTATGAATACAATGATCTCAAGAATTGTAAGAAGTATGAGGGTGTTATATCCCGATAAGAATAATGAATGGTAATTCTTGGGATCCATTTATAAACCAATAATATAAGTATATTTTTATCGTGTAGTTGTTATGTAACTAAACTGTTCATATTCATATCCCTCTTATTATGAATTTTATTTTGACCTATGAACTATTATTATACGATTCACCATTCCTGAGTTATGGCCTATCTATTAATTACTATCTCCCTCATTCACAGACACTTTTGGCCAAATATTGTACAAATGTTGTTCCATATTTTATGGTACGTAGTGATCTGTTTGGTTGATATATAAACCGAGTGTTTGGAATAAATGACTCATATTGCAGTGGCTGAGATTGGTGTTCTGGACTTAACTGGCTGGGCTAGACAGGAAGCGAGACTAATCAGGACTCTAGGCTGCTCGCACGTGTTTTACGCGTCACTGGTTCGATCGATAATTCGCTGATCTCTGGTTAGCGGTGTCGTTGCGTTATTCAATATACAGGGCACACAGGTTCACAAGTTAAAGCAGAGGGCGGTTACTACTTTTCGGCTGACCATACCCTAGAAAATTTCTTCTACGGGAACTTAAAAAGGGAATTGGGTTAGAGCTGGTCTTAGTGACCGCTGTGCCCAAGGAACAACTGCTTGAAGCCGGTCACACGACCGTTTTGTGGGTAGTTTTTGTCTTATCTCCGTACTTGTTGAGACCTTACAGCTGGAAACGGATATCCGTGGGATAAGCAGAGGTGTGCATTTCTAGGGTCGACCTTTTCTAACCCCACCTTCCCTTTATGAAAAAGCAGCATCGCCGTTATGCTGAGTGTTTGTGGGAAACACCTTACCGCCGTCACATCTCTGTACAGTTGTCAGCACGACTTCATCCTCGGACTTTAGGTTTGCTGCTTTTAGTCCTACCGTTCTTAAACCGACCTGTCTGGCATGGTAGGACCAATAGCATTAGTTCATGAAGTTACAGACTGTTGGACTGAAACATGTGGGTAAGTGAAGACTGCCTGATTGGGTCCCCGTAACCAGTAGAGGTTGTGGATATCATGGTTCAAAATTGGTTCAAGTGGTGCAGGTGCATTTGCTTTTTGTCTTCTCTTGGATCCTAAATTTCTAAATAACCATATAGTTTTTTTATTCTACCAATTTTTATTTTATAGAATGGTATATTTGATGTTAATCTTTACTATTACCAACGATACTATTAATACATCTATTTCATCGGCATTAGTCCTAACAATTTCATCTCCCCATGACAATAGGGTGTGGTAACTTGAACCGATGTACATGTGTGCAAGGTTATACGCTACGCGTGACTCATTGATTACCTTAAGAAGTACTCTTCCACGGTGAGTGTAAAGGAGAAGTGATTACCGTCATTATATTTTTAACAGTATGCAAGATCATTATCAAATATTTCCACTATCTCACTATCAACTGTCATCTGTCATCAACTCCTGTCCCGCTAATGATGAGTCCAGTTCACGGGTTTTCAGTAGCCAAACTACAAAATACATATTTTGACCTTCAGTGTTCGAACCTGGTGTCGAATCGGATAACAAACATCACTAGCTAAGACACTAGGATCTAACGCCATCGACGTGTACTGTCTCCAAAACAGGTAAACAAGACCTTATTGAGATCGCCCACTTTAACGAAACCCGTAGAAAGACTACGATGACAAAGTATATGGCGAGGACATAATTGATGAGACTATCAAGTCCAACCTTAGAATTGATACCTATAATTTATGAACATTTTAGCGATCCAAAAGTGATGTTGAAAAGCTTTATTAGTTTACGAATAACTGTGAGAAATTAGAATTAGGGGTGAGCAATAAAAGTTCATGTTAGGAACTAGTAATGGTTTTCATCACGAACCGAGATCAGTTATAATACTAGGATCCTATTTAACCACACGAATGAATGTATTTCACGCAAAAATTTAGACGACGATATTTTGAATCTGATCGGCTCACTTATAAACTGCAACCTCACTACATTTACTTCTTACCGAGTCGATACCAGTATTTCATCCACGACAAAGTTGGAGACGAATGGTGAGATTCCTCGACCACGTCCAACACCAATATTTAAATCGGGACAGTGGAATCAATGTCAGTCATAAAAAACTTACAACCTGACACGTGTGTATCGGTTCAAATTGTCATACCACAATAGCACAGGGATAAACGACCAAGACAAGTTCCGGAGTAGAAGCAATAACAGCGGTGGAATGAGATGCTTTATATGACTTCACTGTTTCAGGTTTTTGCGTGCGAAGTTTGCAAGACTAACAAACACCTCAAATACACACATCGACCAACAGATATAGAACAAAATCGAATGAATAAGTTTGGATGTTGAGACATGATGGATTTCGATCATATTTTAGTGATCTTATTAGGGGATTATTTATGAATAAACCCTGATTTCATCTGTTTGCTAACAAAATAATCTCCAGATCTTAGCAACGCGTTTACAGGAAATGATGCCGATTCATAATATACGGTGAAAATGCAAAAGCAATTTTTTGGGACCAACAAGTTATATTAAAACTGAACGCCTTACTAGGAAATAAAGCATATCTAGGATTCTGTAGTAAAATGTAATACAAATTGTCCCTAGATTAGGACATATACTAGTCAAACTTGAGGAAGGTAACTAAGTGAACAGATATTTTGGTAGTGGTTCATGAACGTTACCGTTAGCACAACTTATTATTATCAGTTTCAGGAGCTACCTAATTTATTACGTAGTAGCAGCTTCATTCGAATGTGCAGTGATGTAATAATCTAATATACCACAAGAGGTAGCTTTATTTCCAAACAAAATAAAAGAATGATGTGAAACTTAATTTATACAACACAAGCTATGAATTGAAATGTTACATCCAAAGGCAAGAGTAAATGCAGCCAGGGGAGATATATCTGTGCGAAAACTCGAAGTTTGGTTATATTGACTAAATGGCGAAGCTAAATTATGGAGATATAACAATTTTTATGTCTTTACAGTTACAGAGTAAAGTTCGGATGATCATGCTGACAAAATATTGGAGGATTTCTGATTTACCAATTTATTCAAAATAAAGGTGTTTTTGATGGTATTAGATGATTCACATCTATTGATTTTTTACTGACTGGAACCAGACAGTAGTTTCTCAAGGATTTTCCAAGAGTTGTCTGAAATACTACTTTATAATCGTTGGAATTTAAAATACTATGCACTATAGTAAACATAATATACTTATAAGCATGAAATATAATATCCTTCTACCACATTGAATACGAACAGGTTCAAATAGCATTCTGAGTTTCACTAGAAAAGTATGTAGCATTCAAGGGAATACGTAGGAAAAATGGAAAGAAAGTTTAACAAGTGGAGTATTTCACGTGGTTTCATACTCACCAATCAATTAACCAGGCATTTAGAGCGCTCAATCCAGGACCCCAACAAAAGACTAAATAAAACAAAACGTTTAAAATCTAAATCTTTCGTCTAAAACACTTTGTGTAACTTCAACTACGGTTTTTTCAAGACAGATATAAATAAGTTGGTTATTTGGTACTGTTTAACAAGACTGATGTGAAACAATTAGAGGAAGGATAACTTAGTATTTGTGATTATCCCTGCTTTTGTGCAATTGTTGCATCGAAGAGCATTCCTGGTCCATTTTAACTTGAATTGTTTCGATCAAGATCTGAAATTTTGCTTGAAATTTGTCTTTTGATACCATCTTTCTTATTGGCTTGTAGTGACTTACATTTGTCACGAGAACACGACTGATTTAATAAAAACAATTATTATTATAAACAGTTAGACCAGTGTTTGTTTTAAAGTGCTTTTGTTTGACTGTGCTAATGACAGCTATATTGGGCTTCCATTCTTGTTCTTACACTTCGATTGTAATTTCGCGCGAATTCGGTTACCTTCTGTAACCAAGTTTGTATCCTGGCACGATCACGGTATCCTTTCGATACCACGAGATCGCCAGTGAATAAATCTTGACTTGGTCCATTTTCTGCCTTCTGATATTTGGCTTCTCGGGGTTTTTATGGAGTCATTTGGAACGAGCTTCTTGGTAGCGGTGTACATAGTTAATCCCAAGCATGAAATATAATATCCTTCTACCACATTGAATACGAACAGGTTCAAATAGCATTCTGAGTTTCACTAGAAAAGTATGTAGCATTCAAGGGAATACGTAGGAAAAATGGAAAGAAAGTTTAACAAGTGGAGTATTTCACGTGGTTTCATACTCACCAATCAATTAACCAGGCATTTAGAGCGCTCAATCCAGGACCCCAACAAAAGACTAAATAAAACAAAACGTTTAAAATCTAAATCTTTCGTCTAAAACACTTTGTGTAACTTCAACTACGGTTTTTTCAAGACAGATATAAATAAGTTGGTTATTTGGTACTGTTTAACAAGACTGATGTGAAACAATTAGAGGAAGGATAACTTAGTATTTGTGATTATCCCTGCTTTTGTGCAATTGTTGCATCGAAGAGCATTCCTGGTCCATTTTAACTTGAATTGTTTCGATCAAGATCTGAAATTTTGCTTGAAATTTGTCTTTTGATACCATCTTTCTTATTGGCTTGTAGTGACTTACATTTGTCACGAGAACACGACTGATTTAATAAAAACAATTATTATTATAAACAGTTAGACCAGTGTTTGTTTTAAAGTGCTTTTGTTTGACTGTGCTAATGACAGCTATATTGGGCTTCCATTCTTGTTCTTACACTTCGATTGTAATTTCGCGCGAATTCGGTTACCTTCTGTAACCAAGTTTGTATCCTGGCACGATCACGGTATCCTTTCGATACCACGAGATCGCCAGTGAATAAATCTTGACTTGGTCCATTTTCTGCCTTCTGATATTTGGCTTCTCGGGGTTTTTATGGAGTCATTTGGAACGAGCTTCTTGGTAGCGGTGTACATAGTTAATCCCAAGCATGAAATATAATATCCTTCTACCACATTGAATACGAACAGGTTCAAATAGCATTCTGAGTTTCACTAGAAAAGTATGTAGCATTCAAGGGAATACGTAGGAAAAATGGAAAGAAAGTTTAACAAGTGGAGTATTTCACGTGGTTTCATACTCACCAATCAATTAACCAGGCATTTAGAGCGCTCAATCCAGGACCCCAACAAAAGACTAAATAAAACAAAACGTTTAAAATCTAAATCTTTCGTCTAAAACACTTTGTGTAACTTCAACTACGGTTTTTTCAAGACAGATATAAATAAGTTGGTTATTTGGTACTGTTTAACAAGACTGATGTGAAACAATTAGAGGAAGGATAACTTAGTATTTGTGATTATCCCTGCTTTTGTGCAATTGTTGCATCGAAGAGCATTCCTGGTCCATTTTAACTTGAATTGTTTCGATCAAGATCTGAAATTTTGCTTGAAATTTGTCTTTTGATACCATCTTTCTTATTGGCTTGTAGTGACTTACATTTGTCACGAGAACACGACTGATTTAATAAAAACAATTATTATTATAAACAGTTAGACCAGTGTTTGTTTTAAAGTGCTTTTGTTTGACTGTGCTAATGACAGCTATATTGGGCTTCCATTCTTGTTCTTACACTTCGATTGTAATTTCGCGCGAATTCGGTTACCTTCTGTAACCAAGTTTGTATCCTGGCACGATCACGGTATCCTTTCGATACCACGAGATCGCCAGTGAATAAATCTTGACTTGGTCCATTTTCTGCCTTCTGATATTTGGCTTCTCGGGGTTTTTATGGAGTCATTTGGAACGAGCTTCTTGGTAGCGGTGTACATAGTTAATCCCAAGCATGAAATATAATATCCTTCTACCACATTGAATACGAACAGGTTCAAATAGCATTCTGAGTTTCACTAGAAAAGTATGTAGCATTCAAGGGAATACGTAGGAAAAATGGAAAGAAAGTTTAACAAGTGGAGTATTTCACGTGGTTTCATACTCACCAATCAATTAACCAGGCATTTAGAGCGCTCAATCCAGGACCCCAACAAAAGACTAAATAAAACAAAACGTTTAAAATCTAAATCTTTCGTCTAAAACACTTTGTGTAACTTCAACTACGGTTTTTTCAAGACAGATATAAATAAGTTGGTTATTTGGTACTGTTTAACAAGACTGATGTGAAACAATTAGAGGAAGGATAACTTAGTATTTGTGATTATCCCTGCTTTTGTGCAATTGTTGCATCGAAGAGCATTCCTGGTCCATTTTAACTTGAATTGTTTCGATCAAGATCTGAAATTTTGCTTGAAATTTGTCTTTTGATACCATCTTTCTTATTGGCTTGTAGTGACTTACATTTGTCACGAGAACACGACTGATTTAATAAAAACAATTATTATTATAAACAGTTAGACCAGTGTTTGTTTTAAAGTGCTTTTGTTTGACTGTGCTAATGACAGCTATATTGGGCTTCCATTCTTGTTCTTACACTTCGATTGTAATTTCGCGCGAATTCGGTTACCTTCTGTAACCAAGTTTGTATCCTGGCACGATCACGGTATCCTTTCGATACCACGAGATCGCCAGTGAATAAATCTTGACTTGGTCCATTTTCTGCCTTCTGATATTTGGCTTCTCGGGGTTTTTATGGAGTCATTTGGAACGAGCTTCTTGGTAGCGGTGTACATAGTTAATCCCAAGCATGAAATATAATATCCTTCTACCACATTGAATACGAACAGGTTCAAATAGCATTCTGAGTTTCACTAGAAAAGTATGTAGCATTCAAGGGAATACGTAGGAAAAATGGAAAGAAAGTTTAACAAGTGGAGTATTTCACGTGGTTTCATACTCACCAATCAATTAACCAGGCATTTAGAGCGCTCAATCCAGGACCCCAACAAAAGACTAAATAAAACAAAACGTTTAAAATCTAAATCTTTCGTCTAAAACACTTTGTGTAACTTCAACTACGGTTTTTTCAAGACAGATATAAATAAGTTGGTTATTTGGTACTGTTTAACAAGACTGATGTGAAACAATTAGAGGAAGGATAACTTAGTATTTGTGATTATCCCTGCTTTTGTGCAATTGTTGCATCGAAGAGCATTCCTGGTCCATTTTAACTTGAATTGTTTCGATCAAGATCTGAAATTTTGCTTGAAATTTGTCTTTTGATACCATCTTTCTTATTGGCTTGTAGTGACTTACATTTGTCACGAGAACACGACTGATTTAATAAAAACAATTATTATTATAAACAGTTAGACCAGTGTTTGTTTTAAAGTGCTTTTGTTTGACTGTGCTAATGACAGCTATATTGGGCTTCCATTCTTGTTCTTACACTTCGATTGTAATTTCGCGCGAATTCGGTTACCTTCTGTAACCAAGTTTGTATCCTGGCACGATCACGGTATCCTTTCGATACCACGAGATCGCCAGTGAATAAATCTTGACTTGGTCCATTTTCTGCCTTCTGATATTTGGCTTCTCGGGGTTTTTATGGAGTCATTTGGAACGAGCTTCTTGGTAGCGGTGTACATAGTTAATCCCAACTCGACGCCACGCTACAGGCTCTTACACTTGTGTTCACACTGTGATCATATTGTGTTTTAAACCTTCTTAATCTGGTTACAGTGGTTGGCAGTAACTATAAATGTGAACAGCCAAACTTTTTATTCCCCGTGGAGGAAGGAATGCAGCCCATGGTGTGTAAAAAGTGGTTCCATAAGATGTGTACCCGTTTAAGTCCCACCTCATACAGAAGATGTTCGAAGCCTAATTCTCATTGGCTCTGCATATTTTGCTGTACAAATAGGACGTTACTAATCCAGGAGACTATGAGCCTATTAGCTTCGGCTTGTAGGAAGAAAGAAGGCGGTTGCGCTGGTATCTCGAGTACTGATGGTGAAGAATGTGTCAGTATAGTAACTGCTGTTACGAGACACGTTAAACACCCGAGTGTCCGACGGAAATGTGAGATCCTTATTAAAACTAACAATGAGTGAAGCGCCACTTGATACTGACATTGGTAGTCATTCATCCCCAGTGAAAATCGAAGATCCGGATAAAACCGTCACTTTCAAATAGTCCTGGTGTAGCTATCCTGAGTGATTAACAAGATCTGGAAAGAAAAATGATATACATAACCAATAATATAAATATCCGCTCCTCTGTTGGTGAACTCCATGGTAGTGGAATCTTTAAAGTCATTAGCTGTGAGCTCAACATCGGATGTTGTACATTTATACTTGGTGTCATCTATCATAGTCCAGTCTGTTTAGCTGATGACTTTATTTTAGAGATCATCCAGCTATGGAGTGCAAATAACAGATGCTTGATATTAAGAGACTTTAATGCAATTGACATTAGTTGAACTGAGGTGACCACCGAAGGATCTAAAAACTCCTTTGATAGTAAATTACTGATAACAGTAATGGAGCATGCATCAGTAAAGCATATATCCAAACCCACACGTTTTGGTGCAAACCAAGGTTCTTCGCTGTTGGACTTGGAAATCACCCATGCGAATGAGGATATTGCTAACCTGAATATTATTGGGATCCTTTATACGGTCATAAACTGGGTAATTGACTTTCTCTATGATAGTAGGCAAACGGTAAGTGTAAACGGAGCTCTCTCATCGTGGGAACCTGTGAAAGAGGAGTTCCCCAGGACACAATCCTTCTCCGATGACAGAAAGATTTGGAGACCCACACACAGTATGTCAGATAAAATAGTATTGCAGGATGATCTCAGCTCAGTGTTGGCATGGACAGACAGGTGGTCACTAGAAGTAAATTCTAACAAGATTGTATTGATGCAGTTAGATAACTGTGATGATTCGTACCACTACACAATACGCGAACTTCAACAACTTAGAAGTCATACTAGGCAGTGATCTTGAAACTACGAGCAACTATAAGGCTGTTGCTGAAAAAGGTTATTGTAGTTTATTCGTAGGTCTTTTGAGCATTTACGTGAGGTAATGTCAAGATTACTGTGCTCGACTTTCGTGAGACCGCGTTTAGAATATGGGACTCAAGCAGCGAATCCTTGTTTCAGATGCAGGTCGAATATTCTGGAAAGAGGCCAGCGAAGAGGGACTAAGATGGTAACAGACCTATCCGACCTATCTTACGAAGACGAACTCAAACATCTCAATTTATTTCCTCTGCCTTAGCGTAGAATACGGGTTGATTTAATACTGACTTATCTTATACTGAAAGATGACCCTGTTAATAATATGTCTCATCTTTCCATTCCGTCTAAAATGATCATTTGAAGGGACGTTCCAAGAAAGTTCTAAAACCGAGATTAACCCGTCTATGTATGGAGTTTCGTTTCCCGAACCAAGTAGTGAATTACTAAAATTCTCTGCCGGAACATGTAATATCAGCACCTTCTCTTGATGTATTCAAATCTAGATTGGACCTCCATAGTGCTACGAACTGCAAGGATGATATACGCTGATAGACCTCCCATCACTATTACTGAAGACTGAAGACATACGATTTAGGGTGACGTGTAGGGCGTGGTTGGTGTTGCGCATGACTTGGTCTATTGAAATTATGAGTGCGTTTGGAAGTATTGAGTTATATACGGTAACGACAAACTTAGTAATTTATGAGAGGTAGGTCAGGCACAATTGGTCCGAAATGGAAACGGTAATCTAAGGGTGATTAACAGTTCGTTAAGTCCCTCACAGAGCCATTTACTCGAGGAGGTTGTGGTAAATTCAGCTGAGATTGCATTCCAAGTAGGGGTAACTCATTATGAGAGAAATTGGCAACGTATCTGGACGTCTACTGTTTGATTATTAATTTTTCGAGGGTTGCCTCGAGTAGCGTAATGATTTCCTGTTAATTTGTTTATGTTGGGTTGACTTGACGTACCTAGTTTGATTTATGTAATTATCAGACCATCATTTATTCTCCGGTAGCTGTTGGAATAATCTCAAGTATTCGTATCTTCCTTTGTGAGATTTGTTCTTCAGCCTTATAACTTACTTCGTTTTTTGTCACTACTTGGTCCACGAGGTTTATATCTCTTGTGAAAAAGTGAGCAACAACATTTTACATTTCATAGTGGGACTGGTAGTACGTTTTAAACAGTGTGAGGAACAACTCAGGAGTGATTACATCACGTTGTCTAAGCAAAAAGTGTGAACGTATATTTGCAACCTTTGCTAGGAGAAATACATGAGGCACTGTGTTAGAGGCTTCTGAGAAATTGATGAATATTTCATGAAACCATGTCTTATGGTCCCAAGAGGTCGTCCAGCTTTCCAATGATATGAGGAGATCGGGTGCACATGAACTGCCTTTTGTGAACCCGTGTTGTTGCATTGTTTTTGTCCATGTATTCTCTCATTTTTTCATTCACCAGTCCTTCCACTACCTTAAAGAGTACTGTGAGTAATAAGACTGGTCTGTAACTGAATGGATTTTCCTATCTCCCTTTTTGACGACGGGATAGAGAATGGCCTGCTTGCGTTCGCTTGGGAATCTAATAAGTGCTTGAACTCGTTGTACATTTTCGTGCTGATGGTCTCTGCACACTATTACAGGTTTATAGGTCGAAGTTTGTCACATCCTGGTGACCCTCCAGGATGCAGGGATCGTATTCTCTCGAATATTTACCTGGAAGTTACTTAGATATCTCCGTGACCCTCCAACTGACACAAGGGTTGAGGGGTGTGCTGATCTTGTAGATTCCTTGTCTAGTTCGTCTGTCACCTTTAAGTTAGTGAAATATTCGCAATCGACCCTTCTAGGAATTCAGATACCCTGATTTCAGGCTTTTTAATTGTCGTCAATCTGTAGAGTTATTCGAGGTTAGCTTGCACTCATGCTGGTAGATTGATCTGAGAACATCTGTTGCTTCGGACTTTGGTACTGTATCTACTTTTTCAATGCCAAGTAAGAGCAATGATTAGATTCCTCCATTATGACCTTCCAGATATTCTGGGCCCACCGTTCGGCCTGCAGCAAGTGTTTCGTGCATCGCCTAATCCGACATTTTTCTTTTCCGGGTGTATGCTTACCTCAAGGTACATGGTGTCGGATAGCGATATCCTTCACTACCCCTCAATGGTCGTGCACTGTTGGCCTCCACCACTCTCATGGCCATGGAAAGTGTTCTCTCATCATAGTATAGTCTGCTCATGCGTAGCTAAGTTAGGAGACATTGTCGTCTCGCCGAAGTATTTTGTTTGTGAGGATGTTAAACATGATTGGACTACGGTCACTACTTCCCCTCGATGCATGGAAATAGACATGATCAACCAGAGACTGATCAATTGTCGGTGACCCATCACATGGAGCCAAGCACGTGCTCAGGCAGTCCCGAACGTCTGGTGACCATGACAAGTCGCCCATGGAACCACACTGCAGGGGTTGTATCCTCGTTGCTGAGCATTAGGGATGTTGTAACCTTCAACTAGTAGCACTTGGTCAAATCACAAGTGTGGTAACTTTATTATCTTCTATATTTACTCTTTTTTAGATGTGAAAAAATGTAGTTGGTTGGCATGTTTCTTCAGTCAAGTACTTTGTACCCTTCACATTGAAACATTACCAGCATGATTCTGTAACCTCAGTTAATTCGGAACTCTGTGGTACTGAGTCTTTGAAGTTGTTGTTAATTCATGCCGCCACTCTACCTCCTGTTTCTCGTACTTTGGAAAGCGTCATGTCTTCTATGCTCATTTCTTCATCTATAATGTCGGTCGATAGCCATCTTTCACTGAGGACTATGATCTCCGAACATAAATAAGAGATCACATTTCTGATTGTTCCTGGTTTATACCATAGTCCTCATGCACTTCCATAGAAGAACTTGATAGTTGACTTCATCACTTGGGGCTTCTCAACAACGGCATTCCATTTCTTAAACAGATTATTGTTTTAAGCGTGTTGTCCAATTCCATGAAGACTGGTTTTTTCCAGTGTATAGCGTGTCCCATTAGCGGGACTGTGACCTCTGTGTTCAGTACTGTTGGCTGTTGATCGGGATCAACTGACACTAAAGCGTTTTATGGCATTTATACTGTCGCCTTACTGATCTAGGTGGGCTTTGGTATCTGATGTGGCAGAGGAGGTCACTTTTCGAACTAGATTAAACCTGAAGGGCCTAAGTGATATCCTCTGTGTTTCCGAAGTTCATAGTTATCAGATGTGGAGACTTAGCTGTTGTGTGATGTAACGGGTTAGGTTGTCTGGATACGCCTAAATTGTAATGGTGTGAAGTCTTACGTTACATGATGGCTAACGCCACCCCCCGTGATGACATATTTCTTGCAGAGCAGGTACGCTACAATTTTACAGGCATGATCACTAATTTAAAACATTCATTTACAGACAAGATGCTTGTCAAGTAGTGTTTTTGAAACAATAAAAGCAAGCATGCAATAAACCTTCAGTGTGCCTGTCAATGTTGGGCTAATATATTCAGCTTCGAGCAGTAGCTTTGATTCTACCAATGCTTGGATGAGCTGTGCTCAGTTGTTGAAATGGAAGTGGGATAAGGTTATTTGCAACTACCACGCGACCAGCAAACATGATGCAGTCATCCAAGATGGATAGCGATTGGCGTCGTTGACAACACTGTCTTAGTTCATGAGATGTTGCACGTGGGAGTCAACCCTGCGGGATTAATATAACTTGTTGCTTATTATACAGTCATGAAGAGTGTGATTAGCAAATCCACCAGCTGTCGCTGGAAGAAGTTGCCTTATATTTGCCGGCGTGCTTCTTACATCTTCCTCAAACGATATGGATGCGACAACAATATCTTCGTTTTCAGGTTTGTGGTTGCTTATTAATCGCGAAGAATAAATCTTACGAAGAAAAAATCCACAAATGATTACAACACTGATTAGAATTAATGCGCTCGACTGAACTACTACTCATTAAATATTATCAAATATTGGGAATCGTATGGAGGCAACAGGAAGGGAGTACAAAGAAACCAATTGGTTTTTTCAAGTTCGTGACAAAGATACTGTTTATTGAATTGACCTTAAGGATTTAACACAATTTCAATTTTCGGCCTTGAGGATGACGTTATACTCAATCATTCTGCCCACCTACAATGAAAAGGAAAATCTCCCCATTATTACATGGATCATTGATGAGGTTATGAATAAAAGGTGAGTAGTTCGTTACTGAAACTTGACTTATCGGACTTGCAAGTCAATATATCGTGTGATAAGTTGTGAAATTAATCTTCGTAACTGAGAATATAAAGGTTCACACCAGTGGAGTTTTAATCCACTCATTTCACACATTTTATGTTCTTTGGTATTAACTCTCTCTCAAATATCTTTGGTTATGTGCCGTGAGAACGCTCTTGGTCTCATATTATTTATTCTTCGATATACAGTGTTACGTTTAGTCTTATCTTCACTTCTATAGTAATAAGTATGATTTGATTAATACCCTGATTGCACTGGTGGGAGTACTATTTTGCAACAGTAGTTTTATCCACGGCTTTAAAATGTAAAGCTGTTGACACGACTTGGATTAAGAACTCCCGGCTGACATCTACTAAATAGTATCTGGTGTCTGTGAACTGTATGTATTACTCTGCAGGTTTTAAAATGGCTGATTGAGGCTATTCCAACAAAGCTTTTATCGGAATTGAATATTGTATCTAAGCTATGTTGAGTGCCTTACTAATCGTTACTAACCCTTTTGAATGTTATATCCCGAATAGAATATTGAATGGTAACTTTTGGAGTCCATTTATGAACCAATACTATATGTACATTTTATCGCATAATTATTAAATGAATAAACTATTCATATTCATGTTCATCTTATTATGAGCTTCATTTTGACCTGTGAAATATTATTATACGATTTACGATTCTTGAGTTATGGCCTGTCTATCAATTACTGTCTCCCTCATTCACAGCCACATTTGGCTAGATTTTGTACAAATGTTGTTTCCTATTTTATGGAATGATGTGATCTGTTTGGTTGGTATGTTAACCCAGTATGGTTGAAGCACATGATATACATGAAACACATTGATAACATTTGTTATTCCAATCCTTTACAGTCACTTATGTCAATTGTTCCATACTATTTCTTATCTCAATGTAAAATTCTAATACACATTTGGTTGTAAGCAGCTGATGAGAAACCACGAAATATAGTGAATTCATATTATTCTGCATCAATATTCGTTCTGGCTTTATTTAAATTGAAATACATGATTCATATCACAGAGGCTGAAATTGATGTTCTGGGCTTAACTGGCTGGGCTAGGCAGGAAGCAGGACCGATAAGTACTCTGGACTGCTCTCACGGGTTTTATGCGTCATTGGTCTGATCGATAATTTACTGTTCTCTAATTGGTGGTATCATTATGTTATACATTAACAGGGCACGCAGGCCACAAGTTATAACACTAGATTAATGTTCGCTTTGTTTAAACAAGGGTCAAGTGACTACTAAAGACCCGACATTTTTCGGTAGCTTAGTGGCATCCCTTCTTCTGTTGCATACTATGATCATTCAGATAATTCAAGTAAAAAAGCCAGTTCATTCTAAGGTACTTTACATTTTTGCATAGGAAAAAAATTTCGATATATGCTAAAACCGACCGTATCACACAACAGAGGAACGTTCAGTATAAAACTATAGCGTGATTCTCAGGGACAAATTTTTTTTCTGAATCTACATTCAGGTTAATTTTGATGCCTTTGTTGTCCAACGGTTATAAATACTGATACCTGGGCTGTTGATAAAACCGTTATTAAGCGAATGTGGATCACGCTGACAGGGTTGTAAGTATCTTTGGTGGCGAACCAATTCTCTCAAACCACTTTCAAAATCTTATGGCGTAACTATTCCCAGTGAGGTGCTTAGAATATCATTTGGAGGATCTTCAGTTGTTTAAAAATCTTGATCGAGTCAATGCAGGTAAAAGTTCCGACGATAGTTTTTCAATATGATTTTCTAATTAGCAGCTGCAAACGCATTCTGTGTGAACCTCTTTTCCATGTTTAGTGTAATGTGCATCATCATATGTAAGTGAATGCTAGACGCAAGTGCCAGAATCATAAAATTGATTAAGACTTCATAATAAATTTATTGCAACTAAGTAACTCCTTCACAACGGTTCGGAAGAAACATCGACACTTAAGATGATGAAATGGACATATTCATTTAAATAAACCCTTTAGAGGTTGGTTTTTTATGGATTTTATCTTAGCAGATAATATGCTTTTAGTTAACCTTACTCTGATACTTATTCTGGAAAATCATCCAAAAGTAAGTAAAGACACTATATACGTCTTTGTAAAACAACAGTATCATTAACTTTCCCTTTAGAGTAGCCTCAACCCAATTATCTGGTGAATGGGTTAACGTATTGTATTTACTCCCTTCTATATTCAAATGCCTATTTGACAAACAATTTTCCAGCTGACGAAAGTGCAAGTTAATTCGGCGCATTGATGTCTTAGGTCTAAAAGTAAAAATTCTACTGACAGTTTTCACTGTTATGACCAACTTGGATTCGTATCATCTCAATCACCCTGAAATAAGTTCAATATTAGAGGAAAATAAAGCTAGAGAAGTTTTTATAAAGATGCCGAGGCTGTTAAATCGCAGTAGTTAATATACAGAATTATTCTCTTGATGTTAGGTTACGAATGAGTGAAAATCAGTTTCAAAGCATTATTTTCCATCCGACAGTTGAAAACAATCATATCCGGCAGTTTCTTGACATTTAAAATTAGCAAGATTTTATTCTCACAATTTGTGGTGATTCAGAAACTCCGAACAGGCAGTGTTTAAATCAAGACTGAATTCATATCTGTTTTGTAAACGTAAATATAACTAAAGAATATGGTCATTGCAGAGAAACATCTCTATTGATAGTCATATTGAACGAGTTACAAGCTTTTATTTGGCTGCATGAGTCTACTCAGGGAGCATTAAGCAATTTTATATAACTTGACTACGATGTCTCACATATCGTTCTTGATCATTGTCATGATCCACGTGGTTTGATTACAAACTCCACGGTATGGTATAAAGTCAATTACTTCATTTGATCTTAAACGTCGTGTTGTTGTGTACACGTTTGTTTCATACTCGTCTTTGTGTATGATCCAGTGTGTTGCTTTTCTACTTCGTTTTTCTGGCATCGATGCTCGTGGCAAATTAGTTTTAAAGAACACTTTAATGTTATATTTTGTCCGTATACGTTGAAACCCAGGACAACTTTCTCGGGATGTGTTGTGGCCGACTGTTTATTGCCAGTGGATAATGATTTCCAGAATCATATGATATTTTTATTTATTAACGTAAATATACTGATACTTTGTATTTAAATATGTATCTACAGTGGCTTTCCCTACGAACTAATAATCGTTGACGACAACAGTCCAGATGGGACAGGTGAAGTTGCTAAAAAGTTACAATCTATTTTTGGAGGAAATAAAATAGTGAGTAGAACTTAATTGCTGTAACGTTGTTCAGATTCTTAAACCAAGAAGTGGGAAATTAGGACTAGGTAGGTTGATTCACTTTAACTGGTATTCAGCAAACTTTTAATATAGGTTCAGCCTACTTGCATGGTTTGAAGTTTGCAAAAGGTGATTTCGTTATCATTATGGACGCGGATTTATCACACCACGTAGGTTTAAACTGGACTTATACCTTACTAAATTATTATACCTATTCGCCGGTCTTAATGTAGTCACGTGATGTATGTGCTTCTGTTATTGAACTGAATCATAAAAATATCTTCCTATGAATTCACTTCGTTATTTGAATCTATGTGGTTAATAGTGATCTTGTTGAGCTATAAATTTACGCTTCTCATAGCGTTATTGAAAATTCCTAAGCTCCGCCGACCTTCCGGGTTATAAAAATACATTTGGTCTGTTAATTCGACCATAAAACTCTTGTTTGTAAATAAATAGCTGAATTGACTTATCTTTTTGCATCTCAGTTAGATGGGGTTTTGGTTCCCTACCAATGTAATCTTTCGAGTTAGAATTTCGCGTTTTTGAGAATACTGCTACAGAAGATGCATACTGTCTATATCTGAAACATCTAAGAAAGGAAACTAATGGTTTCACTCCAGAAAGAGCAGTGTGGTTGTTTGAACTTCGATGTCACAATGGTATCCATATATATATATATCTTTATCATTCTCAACTTTCCATTAAGCTTATTTCCTATTGATTTTTGTCTTTTGGCCTTTTTCTATTATTTCAGCCAAAATTTATTCCTGAGTTCATTAAGTATGTATCTTGCAAGTTAACTACATTAAATAAAATAAAGATTACAAAAGCAACATGATTACGATATTGTTACTGGGACACGATATGCATCTAACGGAGGTGTAAGTGGCTGGGATTTGAAGCGTAAACTTATCAGGTTAGTTTTTATGTGCCGATTAAAAATGGATCTAGTAACACCAAATAATTCCTTCTATTGACTGCTTTACAATTTTCCATTATTTATGAATTTTATTGATCACTTTATGTTGTTTCAAAGATCATTCGCTCATATGATATAACCAGAATGCTCCAAATTATCCAATCAGTTAGTGTCATCTACGTAGAAATGAATAAACAGGTGTGCATCACACACTTACTATTCATTATTTTTGTTAATAAGTGAGTAATATTTTGCGAATTTCGTCATTCTTAAGTGATAATATCTTGATGTCTGCAAATATTTGATAAAGTTTAAAAATGATTATACAACTGGATGTCAACTCATATGCATCAAATGAAATTAAAGTTAGTGTAAGTAATACTTAAACTGATGAGCCAGCTTTTTTCATGCATACCTTGTGATGTTTCTTGATATCCTTTACGATTATGTGTTCTGCGTATAGTTATGTGATGTTTTATGCTCAAGTAACTGGTTATATTGTAAAGTATGCTACTTATGCAGACAGATATAAGTAGTATGTAGCACCAATCAGAAGTAGAATGCCTGCCAGCAGAAGATTGAATTGAAGAGATCAGAAACGGAAGTAAAGAGCAATTATAATAACAATAGAATTGGAAGAATCACAAAGCACATACAGGACAACTGAAGGAAGATGCGAACGATGTATTTAATGTATGGCTTTCGTGTTTTACAATGGCACTCTGTAATTTTGCAATGGTTTTCTCTACCTGAGTTTCCTTTCACTACTATATGAGCAATTGTATCCTTTGATTTTCAAATTAGCCTGCACTCATACCGATTAGTAGCTCTATGCAACACTTAGAAGAATAATCTGTAAAGGCTAGAACAGATAATAAATCTGCTTGTTCGAATAAACTATCGACTTTCTTTAATGTGAACAGAAATGAGTTCGAATTTTTCACAAGGGATAAAATTATCAAGCTATCGCCTCTTAGGTTTGTGTAAAGTATATTAACATTTTTTTACTGTATTCAAAGTTATACAAGATCATAAGTCGAAAAATACTATTGACATTAATAATACATAATTACAGTTGATAAGTACGTTTGTGCTTTAGGACACTAATATAAACGATGTTCCATCCAACAAGTACTATATTTTTCCATCTCATTCACAGAATATATGGATAGTTTGGATTACTTAAGTAAAATAGGTCATTTTTCCGTGTAATGTATCTTCAAATTAGCCTATTGGAAACTAAAGTTCATTTTTGAAAGATATTTGCTTTCGTGTTATTTATATGAGACACAAAAAGTTATTGGATTAGTGAATCATGTATGAAAAAAGTCTCTGAATATGCAGTATTTCTTCAGCATGAATATTATGCTAAATAGTGAGTTGGATTTTGGTGAAGTTTTGTTCTCTGAAGTGGATGAATTGCAAAGAGAAAGGCTTCTATTAAAGAACAACTTCGTCTCCTCCCAGAATATCTTCGTCAGTAAAACTCCCAGCAAATGTAAAATGCAGACTACTAATCAGCTATCCAATGTTATGGAGAAAAGATGAGAAAAGTAGAAGGAGAATGGTCTACCTGATGACCACGATCAAGCCATTCAGCTCCGAAAACTAAGACTTCAAAACATCCACCTGAGCCACAAAGAATCGCCTTCTCAAGATAAATTTCATTATTTAATGTTTAATGATTAGTGATGCTGTATTTTCAGAAATTTTTAATCTCATGTTCTCTCAATCCTTATAGTCCTACGTAGTTTACAACACAGTTGAACCTTTTGATAATATCATAGCTTTCACTTACTTAATTTAAAATCAGTCTCGTGCTGTACAGTCAGTACAGACAATGAAGTTTCAATCAAAATAACAGTGAGTGTTATTCACTCGAATCGTCTTTATTAATCTGTTAAATATAGTCCGTGTTTATGACAAGTTTAAAAATCAGAGTTAGGTCAATTGTAATTTATCAAATAATATGGGATAAGATTGCGGCGTAAATAGGTTTCCTTATACAAAAGACTTTTCTATGCTTACTGAATTATTCCGTTAAATTGTACAATCATTTAAGGTCAAATTACATGTCTTAGTAATTGGATCAATACTTTCGGTAATGGGTTGTTCTTAGAACTGGAACGTTGTTCCAAGTAGCGTTTGTATTACATCGAGTAAGCTTTTCAGACCCATGGGTTTTTTGTTCACTATATGTTCCACATGTATTGGTAACTCAAGTTTCATTCATAAACACTAATTCGCATTTCAAAAGTTAGTTGAAATTTCAAGTACTTCCCAAACATTTAACTGCAGTATAATTGTTTTTCGCATGAAAGTATATTTTAACCATTGATTGAATAACTAATTACAAATGAATGTGTTATCAGCGCAAACTGCAGGTCTTATATTTTATATGTTTTTGAAACAAAACAGTAATTTTTTGTAAAAGTTACGATCAATTTATTTGTTCGCTTATTTGTTTGTTTTTTCAGCCGTACGGCAAATTACATAGCTCAAGTATTACTACGACCGAAAGCATCCGATTTAACTGGAAGTTTTAGGTAAATTAGCGTACATATACTTCATTTCTAATCATTCATCGTATATACTTGAAACGATTATATGAATAGCTGCATAATCATATTAAGTAGATAATTATTTGTTTACCAAAACATATGAATGATTTTCTCATTCTAATCTCGTTCGTTTATAAATTCAGGGTATTGAGTTTGTATATAGGGCATGATTTAAGATACTAGTTAGTAAATATTATTATCGAAGATCTTCAGCGTTCTTTCTGTTAGGGTCTAATAGTGCAGAGTGTAAATATGAAATCAAAACCTGTCAAGAAAGTGTTTACTGTCTTTGGAAAAATAAAGACATCATAAAATCCAGGTGTAGCAATGAACTGACAATATAAAAATTCTTAGACACTGCTATTTGCAGCATAAATATCATCTGTTACTCGCTGTTCTTTCCCTATTAATAATATTTAATTCCAATCATACTGCTCTGGATAAATGTTAGACGTTTTCCACAGCTCGTTTGACGTTATTCGTGCGAAATAGAACAAAGCACGCATGGCTAAATTGTTGTCCAATACATCACATCTAGTTGTAAGTCATCACCTCAGAACAACCCCTCAATCTATTTCGCCATTTTAGTTTAATAAATTTGTCATTAGTTTTAATATAGCAAAACTGTATCTCAATTCTTCGAAGGGTAAGCACGATCAAAAATGTATACAAGTAATGCGGTCAGCTTGCAAAATTAGTTAATTAAAGCGAATCTGAAATTAGAAACTAGTTATATATACACAGTTGAAGAAGTAGGTGCTTTATTACTGATTTTGACAACTGACTATTTGTTGCAATGAAAGGTAAGTCACTCAATTGATTAAACACTTAGTAGTAACCAATATCATAATTGTCTAATTCTTTTTTGCCGACCGCATGATGTTGACCAAGTTGGAATGTGACCACTAGTGTCTAAACGACTCAATAATAAACCCACGACTTAGGTTTCATGTTATTATGTACTTTTCAGTAAGGCAAACGTGTAAGTTTGAGAGAATTAGTGCTCTCTGGTGGTTTCAAAACCATCTCATAAATATAGACAGATGTAGTAGGTTTAGTGCTTTTTGTGTAAATATTATCTCGAATGATTCTTTAGAATATCCAACCAAACGTATTGAATGCATATATATATCCATTTATTTCACTGTTTACTTTCTAGACTATACAAAAAAACAGTTTTACAAGATTTAGTTTCACGTTGTACTTCACGTGGTTATGTTTTTCAAATGGAAATGATAGTATTAGCCTCTTCACTTGGTTACAAAATTGGTGAGGTATGTCTACTTGTACACATTAGTTTGAATTTTATTTTAAAAATAATTTTCATTCAATTCTAGGTTGGAATTACATTTGTAGATCGATTTTATGGAGAGTCAAAACTTGGTGGAACAGAAATTATTCAGTATATAATGGGATTATTACATCTTTTCTGTACTTGTTAATTATTTTTTTTGAAAAAAAATAAACGTAATTATAATTCTACTGTATATACTCGGTTTAGATAATAAGAATCTTTCCGACACCTCATTGCAAGTCTATGCTTAATACTTTATTGAAAATTCATTCACAATGAATATTACAAAATAATGGCGTAGTTATCTTAAGATGTAATTTTCAAGTTACGTCAATATAATATTTCCGCTTGAAGTTAGCTACCATTATGAACTTAACTGAAAAATCATCAGAGACCAAGGAGCACTAGACAATTGTTTTAGTAATTGTGTTTAGTAGTTTTAAATAATTCCTTCACAGTATTCAGTTTGAGATGAGCTTTTCACAAACCCTGTATGTTAATAATAATTGTGGTTAGTTCCGAGATAGATTCCCAGTGATCTATATAGTTTAACTTAGTTGAGAGTGAAACAGATATCACGAATGATGTTGCACAGTCGTCCTGCAATGCTATAAATCGACTTAGGTTATATATATGAACTATGGAGCCGTAAAGTAGTGAAATAAAAGTATAATACGCGCTGTGAGACCGAAAGACTTGGGTCCAATCTCGAGTGTTCGCATTGCTGAGAAGTCACTAAACGGAATAAACAGGCTCTCCAATGGTTACTGATTTACAATGGCTCTCCAAATGTTGTAGTTTTGTAACAGAAGGTAAATTCAAATTTGTCAACAATATAATAACTAGATTTAGGATGACAATTAAGTATCCCAATTGGTATATTAACTACTTGTGTCAAAAGTTTTCTATTAACCTTCATACAAAACTCTAAGCTCGACTCGTAGAATGAGACATCACGTACATTACTTGTGTATAAACTACTTGGCTATTTTTTTAGGCTGAAGCTTTTGGAAGAATATCAGGGTCCATTAATCTGGAATATTACAAAAATATTTCTAGGATTGTATAAGTTTTAAAGCCGAACTTTGATGTTAGTGTGAATAAAGGTTTTTCGTTTTATTATTTGTCCTCTCCAACTTGAGATCACCTGGAAGCAGTATATTTTAAACCAAAATCTTATCTTAACAAGTTTATAAAAGCTCAGGTAATTCCGATATTTCATCTGTGATATGATACGTTCGTAACGATAAAGTACTTCATGCTACTATAAACATTTTTACATATGTTTCAGGAAATACTTTCTTGAAGTGTTTTGAAAATAAGTCAGAAATCAGTTTTTAAAATTGTCCAACTCAGTACATGGCGTTACTTCATGAACTCATTAACTGCTGATATGGGTCGTTTATGGAGCTTCAGATTACCTGTTTGAAGCCCATAAGATAACCTTACTCACTATTTGAAGACTACATGACTTGATTTAAGAAAAGTTGGTACATGTGCACTTGTTCTTTGCTAAGTCTTAAATCTGTGTTTGATTCACTAAACTGTTTAATTTGATTTTTTGAGCATTATTTCTTATCCTCAGCTTCTAATTACTATAAGTATTATTATCTTTACGGCTTTAGTTTTCATCTTTCTGATCCCTCGACGTATAAATGTAAAAAAGAATGCAAATTCAGTCAAAATACTGTGCTGTTTTGAATTATATTTACCTACCTTTTTTATCAATACGTATAGCAGTATTAATTAAATTAGAATTTTAAGTTTTCATAAAACTGTTGAAACAATCTTTCAAAATTAGGTGAAATATTTAAGAAATTTTTAAATTCAACCAAAATATAATCATATATGCATGTTCATGTTTAACTACATTAAATAACCAGATATTGTATATTTATATAAAGATGAATTATTGGCAGATATTTTTCATTTAACATAAAATAGTGACTACTTATCAATGGTATTTTTCGTTCTACATGAACTATTTAGGATTTTCTGAACCAATGTATTAGTATATAAAAATATTGAAATAATGTGATTTTCTATTGGCATCATTTCTTTTGATCAGTTAATTGCAGTATACTTTATTATATTCTCGATGGATTTAGGTTTTAAATGCCTTATTTTTAGTAGAAATTTCTACCTTTGCTGATTTACATGGGGATTCGTAAGACTGAACTGAATGTATTTGTGCTTGAGTTCGTAAATGTGTTAACTTCTGGCATATTTCCGATGTGTTTTCTCGATTCGCTTTTGGTTTATTATTTACTAATAGTTCTTTAGTCATTCTAAGACCGTTTCTATATAATTTTATAAACTCGTTTTTACCCAGTATGAGTCGTTGGTTCACCAAGTTAATCAAATGATCTGCGTAAGTTTCTTCTACTTTAAGTTTACTTAAATTTTCATGAATTTCAGCTTCTTCTCTGGTAACAACTATAGTATTCCATGGTGACCATGGTTCATTAATATCCCATCGAGTCAGTGTCAAATCAAATAGATTTGTCCAACCTGATAAAACCGAGCGACTTTCCCAAATTTGGTCGATTAAAAATCGTATGTCTTCTTTATCGATTAAGAAAGGCAGTGGATTTACACAAACGGTCTCTTCATGTGTCCCGTCAATAATGGCATCTGTTTCTGGTCTTGGAGACTCACCTCGCTCTAACCTCTGTAATTCTTCCTCTCGTGCGTTTTCTATTGCCACTCTTTTCATCTTTTCTACAAGTCTAGTCTCATTTTGTCTTAGTTCTGTCAAAATATATTGATATGGTTCAAGATCTAATCTCTCACGTCCCCGATTATCACTTCTTCTACATGATTTACATTGGGATAGTTTATTCGCTCGTGAGCTGAGTGGGAATAGATTTTTCTTTAAGTATCTTTGACAAGAGATACAGTATTGGATGTCATCTACTAACAAGGGTACAGTTGTTTCTTTTACGTTTGTTGGTACTGTAAGGTACTTACCTACTTCCGGATTAACTTGTGGTGATTTTGCAAACTGCACGAATCTGTTGCGAATCCTTTGTCTCAGTCCGGATAAAATTTTGCCTGGAATATCACGCATAATTAGTTCTGCTTCTCTGTCAACCAATCCCATTATCTCCTTAGAAATCTTTATATCGTATGAGCTCACTGTTTGTTTCAGTGTCAGAAGTATATCTAGCCTTTCATTATGTGTTAGATTTTCCAAACCTAAACTTTCATAAATATCCAGCAATTCCTTTGCACGAATCGTTTCAGCTGTGGCTACTTCAGTTATTCTTCCATTGACTGAGGATATCCAACGATGAGGAGCTGCAGCCTTTTTTAGACAATGAGATTGATTGTTTTCAGCAACATCCTTGCTTCTATTTATTTGATGTTTATTTATAACTGATATCAATTCTGCCTCTTCATCCAAAAGCAACGCTAGAGCTGCTTTCTTTTCTGCTTCCGTTAAGTTTTTTTCTTCTATTTTACCTACTTCTTCTTTACGCCACAATTCTAAAGCGTTATACAATCGATCAAAATCAGTCACAGTTTTAGGATGAAGTCTTCGCTCAAAATCATGTGCGATTCTTCTAGCAACCTCATTTTTGTATTTTTCAGATTGTGATTTTTCCCAAGCAATATAATCATCCCTTATTTTTCTTAGACGCGCTACTTTTCTTTTTGCAAGCCATCGGCGTAAATACTTTTGAATGATTATAATCTACAAAAGGAAATTAAGAAGATGTCTTATTCTTTTAAGATAAATTCTTATATTTCGAAAATGTTAATGAATAAATAGAACAATTTACAGCCGCAGTTGTATAGCAAAATAAGCTTCAAATTGTTTCTCATTATTATTTCGGAAATCAAAATGCATTACACTTGAATATACTTCCAAATTATTTAGAATACGACTAGTGAAAGTTTGCCTTCGCTGTGTACATAGTTACTCCAAATTTTATCGGTTATTCGTTTGCTAGTGGAGTATTTTGTCAGCGTACGGTCGTTTCATATCCTTAATCGTGTATTCCAGTTACGTGAATATCTTTTTTTATTCTGATATCTGTTTGTTCATGTCATATAAGTGCATTTAGTGAACAACTATTCCGTTTGTTAGTCGTGTATATTGATAGGTTAACAATAGTCTCATTGTTTTACCAGTAAATAGTTGTGAATATTTCTAAAAATGTAACGAACGAAGAATAAGGTTGGGGAAGGTAATTTAAAGTAGGTTTTCTATTGTTAAGTATGTTAATAATTTCTAACATTTATACTGACCAAACCACTATAAATAAGATGCCTAAAATTTTATATCTCAATAATGATTTCCACCCAACAGTTCGATTTTGTACCGGAAAATCTGTCAATAATGACAGTGTTTAGTGATTAGGAAACCACACATTTCTGGCATAAAACAAAGCTCTGCAGAATGTCGTTCAAGACCCAACCATAATAGTGGCACCATTTCTGATTCCTGTACTGAAAAACGGCCTAGATTAGGTTCTAACCCCTATAATATTACGAATATGTTTTCACAACAAAATTCAACATCCACTCTGATAATCTATGTTGGTTTATTTATGAATATTTCATGACATTTACTTATGTAAGTTCAGGTCTTAAATTTCGTGAACTCAAGTACACTAATTCTTTTAAATCTGGATTGCTGTCATAATAAGTCTTGATTATAAGATAGTCACAACTGCCTTCTGTGACAGATATCCGAGGACTTTTGACTGGCTGATTGTCATTACTTATATCCATCAGAAGGCTTTAGTTGTACGTATACATATATCACGCTAGTTTTGTCTGTATATGATTACTCCCTCAAGAAATCCTAGTTATTTCTAGTTAGTCTATTTATTACATATATCGCAGTAAAACAGTTCTATCATCCGGTTCAGTACACAAGTGAAACTTTGCCCTAACAGTAACTACGTCCAAATGAAGTTATTTATTTGTTAAGGAAGTATCGATTGAGTAACGGTTAAACTAGAGTCTATTACCAAGTTCTGATGAAAAGATACAATTGCAGAGAATTAAATATGCGGCTTGTAAATTGTTTAAAAATCTGATTGTTAACTTTCTGAAATAATAACCCGAAATTCTACCCATTTAGTTGTTTCTGTCTATAGATTTCAAAAAGAATTGTTTAGTAGATACCCATAGGTTAATTGAGGTATATAATACACCTCTGCTCAATTATTAGGATTCTTGAATGTGTTTGGAAGGAAAAAGGAATTCTACTGCGGGTTACTTTAATAAATGAAAATCTGGAGTTGAGGTTTTATTCGAATCACCGACTAGTAATTAGGTATACCTTCACCAATATTAATGTCCAAACCTAAAGCTACATTGTAATTATAAAAGCATCTATAGGAATCAGACTACAAGGAATTGGTGTTGGCCAACTAATAATGCCATGGAAATTAGCTATATAATCAAGCAGCACTATTGGTGTATGAGTTTAAATTCAAAGAAGGGTATCTAGATATATCAATTTATACTTTATTATCCCCAACTTTACCTCCATCAAATCTCACTGATGTATCCAGATACAATATTTCCTATTGCATATTTAAATTCCTAGGTTATTATGTGGTTCTACGTTTCTCTAAAATATATGCATCAGTATATCCGTATCTGAATGACGGTGAAGGTGGATAGCAAATATTACAGATGTAATTCTCCTGTATAAAATGCTTCGTCAAAAACCTAAAGAAATAATTTGATTACGATGATAAGTAGTTAGAAATGTGTGGATAAAGTACGATAGGTTGTGCAACGTGTTATATTTGCTCTAACTGATAGATAAAATCTACAAATGCTAACACCGTCCAGTCTTTATTTTGTTACGTAATTGTCAATCGAGTGACTGTCTCATCATAAGTGAATTTGAAAGTCATCTTACTTTTGTTAGTACTCTGGCAAGATATTCATCTGCTGTCTCATATAATCCAGGGGTTTGTACTCTGTCCTGACTGTTGGCAACAAAAAATCCAGGCTTCGGGAATTGGGTGGACATTTGATTTACTGTCATGCTTCCGAAATGATGCATCCTATATGTTTGTGTATCTCTGGATGTTTGTGCGGCTCCCAACTTTTTTCTTCTTATAGGTTTAGTTTGTGAAGATGCATTGTGATATATGCAGCTGGTAATTGTATTCTTGTATCCTCCAAGAAATGGTTTATGATGATCGTATGGTAACCAATGTATGTGAATATTTTCAGCATCTTTGTTTGTTCCGTCTTTCTTAGGAACTAGCATTATATTTTCTTGACTGTGAGGATCTTTTGTGACAGCAATCTTTCTCCCAATGATTTTGATGATAAGACCAGACGTTAGAAATATTTCACGAAATCCTAACTTTATTTTAAAGTAATCTACAGCGTTCCCAAGAGAAAGAGTAAAATATAACAACCTATTTTCATTTGCCAAGGTAATGAGTGTGGTATCAGTGTTTGCCACTTCACCATTGTAATAGAGCAATAAGTTTTCATGAGTTATACCCGTGTCTTTAACCAGTAATATTTTAAGGTCCATAATGAGGAATGTTTCAGGGACCAAAAATATTTCCAGTGAGACTCCGTGTTCCGTGTTTATATGAACTGTCACACTATCCTTAGGATCGCCATAAAAATTGATAGGCAAACTATCAGTATCACTTTTCTTACCAGACATATTTATGCACGACGCAAGTTCGTTTGAAACATTTGCTGGCTCATTTGTGTGAGAAATTATATCCTCTTGTTTGGCGTTATCGATGCTTTTATGTAAAATATTATCATGTACTATGGTATCTGAAACATTATAGTGTTTTGCGTTCTCGGCATTTGCTTCGAAATCCTTCTGGTCGACATTTGGTGTTTCGACAGCGTGATTATCATATAATTCTTCAGCATCTCTATTACTATGGTGTTCACTATTTTCGAGTTCATCTTGTTCGTTGTCATTTTTTATCCCATCCATGATTTTTCCGAGAATCGTTGGTACAAAATGTTTCAGGAGCAGATAAACTGTAGTCTCTTATTAGTAGACAGCAAGTGTACTGAAAAAGAAACAACAACGCAAATAAAATCAAACAGTTCTAGGATTACCACTAAAGTTTATAGACAAGTGAAATACTAACGATTTTTTAGAAAGACTCTGCTGAGTGTGAATGGGATTGAATTGAACTAAACAAAAGACTGTGAAATTAGGTAAACCACAGTGATGATTTCACGATTTTAAAGGTCAAATAAGGTTTTCTGCCCGAAACAGTCAGCATTTTGATTAAAAACATAAAAGTAAAAACCTGATTTCTTTTACAATCTAAATGCTATATAATGTACAATGTTGTCTGTAGGTCAAAATTCTTAGTTTATGTTAACAAACTACAATAGCCGTCTCAGCCAATTAGTATCCAAAGCATATCGACCATTTATTTTTCCTCACAGATGCCAAGTGCGTGGTTTACGCGCGAGTAGCGGAACTCCGATTTTCTAGAGTCTGCTTTTTATTTTCTCTCATTCATTCTGTCCGTTCGAATTAATTGACTTATTGTACTGCTTATTTCTATTCTTTTTTCGCTATGATGAGATGATCAGCCGAAATTAAGGTACACGTATATAGGTTACTTACTTAAACTTTAATGACTTCAATCAACACAAGAATTGGAATGATTCACGGCTAAGTGAAGAATCGACAAAAATACCTCTGAAAAAACTTCAGAAATGCAACTAAATAATTATTATTTACAAAAAAATTACAAAGCTTGGGTTTAATGACGAAGTGGCGTCAGTCAGTCAGCTACAACGTAGGACCAGGCACATATGTACATCGGTCCAGGTTGCCATACCGCATCAACACAACAAGATGAACACCGGATTCATAACAGTGGTTAGGTGAAAGGTGGTAATATATAAGAGAAAGATTGCATATAGAGATATAGTACAAGCAGAAAGAATTGGTTCGTAGAAAGAAAGATATGAAGCGATTTTAATGTCATAGTTTAAGGGAAGACAGGGAGTGTATACACCGACGCCATTGTGATCGATTCTGAGCCATGTCACCAAGAGTCTCCAACCATTGGTTACCATAGTCACATGGACCCCAACCAAGTAGTCTGCATCTACCAACATGGCTCAGACTAGAAGTTAGTGACTTCAAGCACTGATGCCACGTTTTGGTTTGGCCGCCCCTAACTTTCTTCCAACCATTTCCAATACCGGATAGCATTGCACGTCGTGGTAATCGGTGTTCAGGCATACGTAACACGTGGCCCAACCATCTCAGTCGATGAAGATTCATAACCTCATCAACTGATTTACCATCATTTCCTAATACCCTGCGTCTAACCTCACTATTACTTACCCGGTTATCCCAGCAGACGCCAGCAATATTTCTTAGGCATCTGTGGTCAAATACTAGTAGCTTACGAGTGTCTTCTACTCTTAATGGCCATGTTTCGCTGCCGTAAATTAAAACAGAGCGGACTGTCGCGCAGTATACTCGTCCTTTTATTGATAGACGGATATCTTCGCCACAGGTGACGTAAGTTGGCAAAAGCCAAACGAGCTTTTCGAATCCGTGCTGAGATTTCGTCCGATACCAACCCATTAGGGCTGATCAGACTTCCAAGATAAGTGAAGTTGTCAACGCGTTCGACTACTTCACTCCCTATTCTTAGTTCAGGTGTTAACGCAGACCAGTCCTGAAGCAACAACTTGCATTTAGAGGGAGAGAAGCGCATTCCAAACATTCTGGCATTGTTGCTCAGTGCTACCAGAAGATTCTGCATTTTGTCAGCGTCTTCAACAAACAGGACTATGTCATCTGCGTATTCTAAGTCGATAAGTGGACCTCCTGGAAGGAGATCAATACCCGAGAACTCAGTCGACGAGAAAGTTATTTCCATCAGTAGATCTATGATGAAGTTAAACAAAAATGGGGAAAGTGGACATCCTTGACGGACACCACTTGAGGTTGCAAAACTAGATGACAGTTCGCTATAAGCTCTCACTCGACTAGTAGTGTTCGAGTAAAGAGCCTTTACAAGGTTTATGTACTTCTGGGGTACGCCTTTCAATGACAGACACTGCCACAGAATCTCGCGGTCTACAGAGTCAAATGCTGCTTTTAAGTCAAGAAAGACCACCATCGTCGGACGCCGATAAGTATGCCTGTGTTCTAGAACCTGACGAATGGTGAATATGTGGTCGATGCAGCCACGACCAGGTCTGAAGCCAGCTTGATTTTCTCGTGTTTGCAGTTCACGAGTCTTAGTTAGGCGTCTGATTATTATTGAGGCTAGTATCTTAGATATTATATTAGTTAAACTAATCCCTCTGTGGTTATCACAGGATGATTTTGACCCTTTCTTATATATTGGGACGATAAGTGATTGTGACCAGTCAGATGGAATAACGTCTAACTCCCAGGTCTTAGCTAAAATATTAGTCAACCTAACCGCTAAAATTGGACCACCATCCTTGAAGACTTCTGGAGCCAGTCCATCTGGACCAGCAGCCCTTCCTCGTTTCAGATTATCTATAGCCTTTTGAACTTCAGCAAGAGTTGGGGGACCTACTTCAATGTTCCATTCACGCTGTCTGGGAATGGAGGGTAGTTGTAGAGTAGCTGAAGGCCAGCTGAACTGTTCTCTGGAATGTTCAGCCGATCGTTCTAAACGCCTGGACTGGGAGCAGATGAGTGCATCGTCGTTTTCTGATATAATCTCACTTACACTTGACTTATTAATTCCAGTTTCTTTTATTAGTCTGTAAAGCTGTCTTGTGTTCCCTATAGTCGCCGCCTTTTCCATCTCTTTTGCTTTCGCTGCCCACCACTGCTCACGGTCGTTTCTTAGACTTTTTCTTAACCTAGATCTGATTTTTTGTCGCTCTTCATCATGTTCGGAACCTGATGGGACAAGTTTGCGAGAATCCATCAGTGTGATAGACTTTGAAGAAATCCACTGGTTCTTTGAAACTCTGTGGTTTAAGTTGCTAATAGGTGTCACTGCTGCTTCCACAGCTGCTTGTATGTCTTTCCAAGCAACATCTGGGTCAGCCTCGTCTTCAGAACTACCTAAGTGTGACCTCAGTTGTTCTTGGAACCTATTTTTGGTTTTCTCGTTACTCAATTCAGTTCTAATTGGTCTTTTTAATGTGGCTTTTTTGCGTCCGGTGAGGCGCAAGCAGATGCGTGCCCGTATTAGGGCGTGGTCGGAGTCCAAGCAGGTACTCCAGAATGAGCGACAATCTTCTATCGACCCTCTCCAACGATGACTGATGGCAATATGGTCTATTTGAGTCCATCGTTGGTTTGGTGTAGGGGGTCGCCATGTTAGACGATGTCTCTCCTTATGCTTAAAATTTGTGTTTGCTAAAAATAAGCGATTGTATGAGCACAGTTGCAGCAGACGATCACCATTATCTGTTCGCTGTGCCGGAATGCTAAAATATCCACCTAAATGCCTTTATGTTTGGTTTAAGCTACCTATCTGAGCATTAAAGTCACCCCCTACGAGTACTATGTCTGAACGTTTAGCTTTCTGAAGAAGTTCAGAAAGCTTTCTGTAAAATTCATCCTTCACTTCATCTGAGCTGCAGTCAGTGGGAGCGTAGGCAGAAACGACGAAAAGGCAACGACGTGTGTCCCTATCCTTCCGAGTTCTTACGGAGCCGTTTAGCCGAACAGCACATAGACGACTGTTGATGGGGATCCACTCTAGCAGTGCTTGTTCCGCCCTCATGCTTAGTGCTATGCCTACACCTGCCAGTCCACGAGAACTGGCCATCGGGTCACCAGATACACGTAGGGTGTATCTCGTTGGCTCTCCGTTTTGCCGAGGTGAGGTCAAGTGAATGACCACACTGGGATCCTGTGTGCGTGTTTCGGAGACACAGCATACATCGATGGAAAGAGACTCTAGGGTTTTAGCTAAAGAAGCCTGCTGACCGATTTGACATAGAGTGCGTACGTTGAAAGCTCCAATGTGTAGTTTGGAGCGAGGTTTCAGTAGACCTGGGACAGAGTTTTGAGCACTAGAATCGTTGGCTATGGTGACACTTAAGGAAGAAGCCGAAGGAGGAAGTTTAGGGTTGAAAGTCGATGTAGGAGGAATAATAGGAATTGAAGAGGAAGGTTGATTATGAATACAGTGGTCTTGGGTGCTGTTATAGGTATGAGGGCGGTTATCACTTCCCGGTTGCCCTCACCGTGGAAGGGTTCTTCTGGAGGTACCTGAAAAGGAAGTTGGATTGGAGGTGGTCTTAGTGACCTGAGAGCGTGACCGCAGTGCCCAAGGGACAACTGCTTGAGGCTGGTCGCGCACGGCCTTTTTGTGGAAGGTTTTTGACGTGTTAGCTCCGTTCTTCAAAGATCCTTACCGCCGGAGACGGAAATCCGTGAGGTAAGGTGAGGTGTGCATTTTTAGGGTCGACCTTTTCTAACCCCACCCCTCCTTGTGGGAAGGCAGCATCGCTGTCATGCTGGTTGTCTGAAGGAAACACCTTACTGCTGTCACACCTCTGTACAGTCAGCAGTACGACTTCGCCTTCGGACCTTAGGTTTGTTGCTTTTAGTCTTACCGCTCTTCACCCGACCTGTCTGACATGGTAGGACCTTGAGGAACGGTTGTTCCAGCCAGTATAGCTCGGTTGCTTCATCACGATAGGCAATCTCGACCACCACGTCAAGGTAGCAACAACGGTCAGGCGAAGTGGCGTACTATGGATAATGTCTGCACGTATAGCTTGTATATACAAGTATCTACGTTCGAGGATTTGAATCGAGATTTTCAATGACCGATCCGTAGCTTATATTACTGATCGTAAACTACAGTGGAGCTAATACCAAGAGGACACAAAACCAGTCGGTTGATTAGCCAGTCCTAAAAGTTGATGAGGTCCTCTCAGTTTTAATTAAAAACATCGAATAAGAGAAAAACATGCACTAAAATTATCTGATTAGGGCGCACACTTATTTTTTAAAGTAAAGACAACAATGTTGACGTCACACTGACGTCCAGTTGCAGTTAAATGTCCCAGAACAACACAAGAAATATATAGTATTAAGTATAAATTAAAATGTATGTTATTATACATGTGGATAGCAAATATATGGTCTAGGGTGTTTAGACTAAACTTTTCAACTGAAAAGCGACCCTGTCTTTGTAAGACCGTTAAAATGAATGCATAAGATGTGTGATATTCAAAATCTAACTGAAAAGCACTTCAAAAGTTAAATACGATTATTTGTCATGAACTACCAACTAAATTGTTACTTGATATACACCGACACATCCTAAATAAGTTCAAATATTATGTCAAAATAAGAGCCCAAGTAGTTAAACATGGAATATAAGAAGCTTTTCTTTAGTAAACCATTCTATTTTGTTAGAATGGGTACTGTTCTTCTCTAGTTATAGTCGTCATGTGTATATTTGAGTGTCAACAAAACCTATAATCAAGCATTTTGCTTCGAAATATATTTCTGTGAGTATTGTGTCCAAATTAATACTATGGTGTTAGTAATAATGGCTAGTCAGTCAGTAACAACGTAGAACTTCGTACGTACGTACATCAGTTCGAGTTGCCACACCACATTAGCACAGAGATGCAGTGGTCGATTCAAATCCCGTAGTGCACTTGAAAAGGAAATTGTATTAGTGTTGGTCTTTACGACCTGGGAGCGTGACCGCAGAGCCCAAGGGACAACTGCTTGAGGCTGGTCGCGCACAGCCTTTTCGTGGAAGGTTTTTAATGTGTTAGCTCCGTTCTTCAAGAGGCGTTACCGCCGGAGATGGAAATCCCTGAGGTAAGGTGAGGTGTGACATTTTTAAGGTCGACCTTTTCTAACCCCATTTCTCCTTGTGAGAAGGCAGAATCGCTGCAGATGCTGGTTGTCTGAGGAAAACATCTTACTGCTGTCACACCCCTCTACAGTCAGCAGTACGACTTAGTCCTCAAACCTCGAGTTGCTGCTTTTAGTCTTACCGTTCTCCAATCAAACTGCCTGGAATGGTAGAACCTACAGGAACATATGTTCCAGCCAATATAGCTCAGTTGGGTCATCACGATAGGCAAGCCCGACCACCGCGTCAAGGTAGCAGCTTTGGTCGGGAGTAGTAGTAATAATGGCGATCAGAATGTTTAGCTTTCTGAACCTGCGGAGGTGTTATCCTTTACCTAGTTACACTTAACTCTTTAATAACCACTTTTTAAGTAATAGAAACGGTATTCATAGAAATGTATACACAGTTTAACCGCAGCGTTTACGTAGTTATGTAGACCTAAGCTAACAAAAAGGGGAATAAAAACGACCTTTTGGGAAAAAACTTGAAGGAAGTCGATGTAAATATTGGCGACAATGCACCTAAATCTCAGATTTTCTCCAACCCTAAGTTAATAGAGCATATATTTCCAAAAATTTATCCATCGTGGAGAAACGTCTCGAAATCAACACCCTCTCCCTAAAAGGTCTACTAACTTCAAACTTCACAACATAATCTGCTCTTCCACAAAATTCACACCAAATTGTTTACTATCATTAAGTGAAATAGCTAATTTTTTGGCGAAACGCGACGCACTAGTATACTATATACTTACAAATTTTGTCTTAAATTCTCTAAGTCGAACAAATTATGTGCACAGTCGACAATATTCAACATACTGGTTAAAATGGTAACAACTTATTAACAGTTTTCGCGCACAGTTTTAAATGTCATTTACGCTGACTAAAAATGAATTATCAACGTGATAAGTGATAAAAAATCTTCATCCATATGTGTTTTAAAGAGTACAATATTTAAAAAATGTTAATGGTAGGTCTATAGACCTACACTTTGCCACTAAGCACTGAGAAACCAAAAAGGTCTGTACAATAATCTTACTAACATTTCCTAGAGGTGTAATGAAGCGTAAAGAAGATTTTCTTTACAATTCAGTCGACATGGATGTGGCTGAGATGCAGTCTAGGAATGTCCCCGTACAATATCCCAAATTCCGTGTTTTCGAAAAATTCATATCGCCAATCGCCAAGTACGTTTAATTAGTATTTAGATATTCACGAATTAGTTCGACACAATTAGATACATCACCTTCGACATCGGAATGTAAGCATGTTGGCGGCGCTATAGTGGACAAGTAAGTTACCTGCATCATGTAGTGACCTTTTTCAGCAGTGAAAGGTTGTATACACTGGTGCTGAACATGTCGTCAGCTATCAGTGAACTGACAAAAACGATTAACAACATGTCGTCCGCCATTATTGACTTGAATGTTAATGTAAACCAACTGCTATCGAAGTTTCATGAACGCGAAAAACCGCATCAGTTCGATTGCTGACTGTCCAGTCAGCAGTTTCCTTTTTCATCTGAAGAGGAACTGCAGATGCTTGATACCGGTTTGTCGCAGAAAGAAACGAGGGACAGATTTCTAAGTCATTAACATAAATTTAATAATTTCTTACTATTACAGATGGCAATGGTCACTAGGTTATCAAGTGACGATCCAAAAACATGGATGCGGTTTATTCTGTCGCATATCTTGACACCTGAGGTTGCCAGTAAATTCAAGTTACTTGGCACCTCTTCAAAACGAGCACTTCAAAGATGCACGTTTTACGGCTGCATACGAAGTAACCTATATCTATTACTTAAACTTCAGGTGCCTTGACTCATCGCTTTTTGTCATCCTCTGTCAACGAAAAAGACCTTGGTAAGCTCTACGACATAGCGACACAAGGTTACTTTCACGACATCTGAGACAAGATGATAAAACGTTATAGGAGAAAAGATAACCAGGTATGTACTGATTTAAAGTGATAACCTCCCTACGGCTCTATAGTTACAGTCAACAATATTAACGAACATAACCGTAAGTTCAGCTTCAAGTATTTGGGTGTGCCAAAGCATATCATTGAGATATGATTGTGACTTTTTTTTAAATTCAGAATTCATAGGACGACTACCTCAATTCCGAATAGTCCGTGCAATTGTTTTGGTGTTCTACCTCGATGTCAATAAACATTTTACTTTCAAACAGCTTACTTTTTACTTACTTGGGAAACTGTTGAGAATGTGCTTGAGTTTCAGTGAACTTTTGATTAAATGGACATTGCTTATGAATAAAACATAACCTGTTCCTTCTTTTTCAGATAATTTTCTATAAAAATGAATTAGCAATTGCATTGGATATGCATAACAATGGATGCTTAAGCTTGTGCTCTACTGTTGTACAATAATAGGCTTTTCTTTTTAAATACAATTTTTAAAAAAATTTACCGCTTTTAAACTGCATTGCAGAAATATTTTTGTCTGTTGTTGAAAATAAAGGCGAATGCAGGAGACCTTTGGTCTTCTGTCGATGGATAGAAAATAGGGTGTAATGTGTGTATTTAGGCGGATATGCGACAAATCAGCGGATATTTAGGCGAAAATTCGACGGATATCTATGCAAAAACGAGACTATTCAGCGGTTATTTAGGCGAAAAAGCGACAATTCGGCGGATATTTAGGGGAAAATGCGACAATTCGGCGGATATTTAGGCGAAAAAGCGACAATTCGGCGGATATTTAGGCGAAAAAGCGACAAATCGGCGGATATTTAGGGGAAAAAGCGACAATTCGGCGGATATTTAGGCGATAAAGCGACAATTCGGCGGATATTTAGGCGATAAAGCGACGATTCGGCGGATATTTAGGCGATAAGTGGGTAATTTGTCGACGAAAAGGCTATAAAGGGAAAATTCCGCGTTATTTCCCTCGGACAGGCGAAAAAGGCGACATTCTGGCGCGTTTTCTCCTTTATTTCCCCTTTCGCCACCAAGGCATTTACCCCTTTATTTCCCATTTTTTCCCCATTATTTCCCCTTTTTGGGTTGTCTGGGACGTTCAGCAACTTCTCCTGGATTTCCGGTAGAAGTACATAACTGACAAAATGAGTTAAATCTTTAAATAATATGATGTTGAAGTTGGAGATTTTTAATGGATATAAATCAATTGTAAAACTTTGTTAAGTTTAACTTTAAAGTAAATTGTAAATGCAATGCGTTTTCAGACCCAGGTTATTATGTCGAAGTCATTTTATTTTAGCTAGTTCAACATCAAACAGCCATTTTGAAAATTTCATCTAGCCTCGTCTAATTTTAAAAATGTTTTATCATTAACCCGAAAATCGAATTATTTTACTTGCCACATATATTTATTTTGAGCGCTTTTGTTTCCATGCCTCTTCAATGACCTTACTTCTAATATTTTTGTAACAAATTGGAAAAACAAGATATCTTATTTAATTCGCATATTGGTCTCAAATCACAACTTCAACATTTCGCTTCTGTTTAACTTCTTTTACCAAATAATTTGCGCTTAAAGTAACAGTTAGGTTGAACTATTCATTTTCTTGCACCGATTCACCAGAAAACTTGACTACTCGATTTGGTAGATAGCATTCCAGAAAAAGGGTGTGAAAATAGTGCGAATCAGTGAATAATAGTGATTATATGTTCATAATAATCAAACCAAAAAGCAAAATTTGAATGAAGATGAAGACATTATTTCTTATTGAATATTTGTTTACTCAGTTATCTTGTGTTCAGTGTAGGGGATTTTGTGGTTAAGACCAATACCAATACAAGTATGATCTAGATGGCACATGAACCATATGCAACGAAACGTCGGACCAGTACCAAACGGACATTTAACAGCTTAGTTTAGGCGTATGAGAGTAGCAGAAAACCTCATGGTGATTGCAAAATATTAAAGATCAAATATTTGTTATTTCCCTTGTCCTTGATGGGCATCATATTTCCTATCGTCCAGTGCTGAATTTCGGAAGGCATGGATGTTAAAAATAAGGAACTCGCGCTCCAACTGTTCTGTCTCACGATATAAAATCAAAATTGAAATAAACCACTCTACGTGACATTGACAGATATAAACGAGGGGTAAACAACGTCATTGAATACCCACGTAGATTAAGCTAAATCGACCATAAGATCGTGTACTAGAAATTCAGATGTGACTGATGCAATATGTGAACCACGTTATCCTTCAATGCATTTTCAACTAAGTTGTTTTAAATTCAGTACAATGCATTCATGTGTCCTTTGTTTTCAGTCCTGACATAGTCATAGCATAAAGAGTATGCACCGACGGGCTCAGGGCATTCATCGATTCAAATGCTGCATGCTATACGTTCTACCTATATGAAATTGCTGCCGATCTATGGTCTCAATCTACCAAACATGGAACAATAATTTTTAGTTCCCATTGGACAGTACGCTTTAATAACAGTGAAGGGTGGGAAACTATTTGTTTCTTACGACCTTTATTTTTGTCAAACAAGAAAGTACGTGGCTAAAACCTAGTTGATAAATGCGACTCAGAAGCTACTACCACATTAGATGTTTGTTTTCTGGAGGACCTGTGACCAAGTATGGAACAAATGAATTACACATGGTCATGATTCCTGTAAAAAGACAGTAGATAAGTAGTAAGTAATTATTTCATGTTCTGTGCAGTATGAGGTAGTTATTGTAATTCGAATTTTTAGGCATAAAGGTTTCATAAAGTCATATAGTTCTGTTAATCAGACCTTCATTGGATCCTTTGCACGAAACTAAGAGTAGCTACAATCCAGCCATTTGACTGTCGTACGACAACTAAGAGATATCAGGAGTAAAAATGTCCAGCTATACATTTTGAAACAACTAGTCAAAAAGTTAGGCAACTGCGTGACGCTCATGAATATGTGAAGCCTCTCACTGTGCCACATGAATTACATTTACATGCAGCTCACAATCCTTCAGATAATTCAAAATTTCTTATCCCATCAATATTCATGTGAAGAACTAATTACTTTTCACAGAATCATTCTGCTAATATGAAAAAACCACCACAGTAAAATGAGTATTTATGATCTTGCTTACGAAGCTACATGCGATGTGGCCTTTTACGAAAAATAGACCATTGCAATATCTGTCAGTTCCCATATGCAACCTCATTGGGGTTACACTGATGTCTTATGCATATGATTTTTAAATTCATTTATTGTAAGATACAAACAAGGGTTAGGACTGAAGAATAGCTGTCTATGTGGGTTAGATATGCGTCATTGCCCGTTTGAAATCAAAACAAAGTAATTAGGTAAAACGGCGGTTCTAATATACATCATAAATTTAAATGTACATCGTTACCTAAACAAATGTGACCATCCAGCTAATCAACTAATAATTGTTCAATTAATCAAAGTTAAATTACAATAAATAAGAAAGTTTATAAAAAATCCGAGAAAATTACCAATCACAACAAATAAATTCTATTCTATCCTGTCTGGATAGAACACTCACAGATTCGTTCAAAAGATAATATTTGGTTGCTTTATAACACAGAGTTTCCAATTCTGGAAGAGTGCCTCAAATCACAGTCAAAAATGAACAATTCCAGTCAATGTAAGCAACGTAATCAAAAGGAGGAACAGACCAATATAGCTGCCGCCAAGACCAACTATCAAGTAAAACAACAAAAATGCAGTTCAAAAAGAAACACGGAAACTTAGTGAAGGCGTAAAAAACAAGTTGTACGAATGGACTGTTTCGTGGAATATGCCACTTAATGTTGACAAAAGTGGATTTATTCACATTGGTCGCTGTCTTAACTTAAATCTGACTGTACAGACACATACACTCAAACCTCTTAACACTGTTCGTGACCTGGGTTTAAGATATAGCAACAGTCTGAACTTTTCTGAACACATTATATCTCAAGTATCCAAAGCTAGAAAGTTCATCGGATTGATAATGATAAACTTCAATAATATCGAGTCAAGATTGTTACTATACAGAAAATGTATCTTACCCATTCTTGAATATGGTATTTTAGTTTATAGTAATTGTAGACATATTGATCTGATTAGAATTGAAGGTGTTCAAAGAAAGTTCACCAAAGCTGTTCTGGGGTATTCCGATAACAAAGACTATTACCAAAGATGTCAACAACTCAACTTAGAAACTCTTTGGATCAGACGTATCAAATTAAATCTTGTCTTTATCTACCGGCTCATTAACGATATTTCCTACTCATCGGTATCCACCCCTTCATACCTTAAAATATCATCCCACAATCTACGCAATAAGGAGAACATTCTATCGATTCCAAGAACCCACACAAACTTACGTCAGAATTTTTTCCTTATTCGCTACTCAACCATGTGGAACAGACTGCCAGTGAACCTCCGTTGCAGTGAAACTACAACCCGGTTCAAAAGTCTCCTTGACGATTTTCTTTCCGAAAGTGGATTATGTCACCTATTGAATATCAATGTATTCAATAATGATTTATACAAACAAGGTCCGTCATCTATTTAATTGCTTGAAAAGCAAAATGAAACCTTTAAATCTTTTCACGTCTATTTTGTATTATTTCTCTTTATCTTAATATATGAAGTCTGCTTATGTTCGTGTTTATCATTATTACCGTTATTAATAACATTATTAGTTCCCCGACACATTAGATATTCTAATTATCTCTTCTTATCCTTCTAAACATATTTAACTCCAGATTGTCCTTTGAAATCAATTTTGACTTTCATAGCATCAATATTAATTATTATTGCACAAATATTTATACTAATATCCGGTTTCATTCTGTATACTATTACATAAATCTAAATGTATTCATCCGAGTGCTTTAAAGGATTTTTATTTTATTTTTTCAATTGTTGGTTTCCTTCTGAGGTTGATATTCATTACACAATTATTATTCTTATCATGGATAAACCTTTTCACTAAGTGTTCACTTCTTTTCTTTCTCTTCTTTCCCTCTGAATAAATATTATTCTTAAGATTACGAAGTTTGTAATTAAAACAATAACTTGTGTTACACTTAAATTAACTCCTCAGATTCGTTTTATCTTCACTATGCATATATGACTCATACATATTGATATTTTATTATCCTTTTCACTTAATTGTGACTTTCATAGCATCACTCCAAACTATAACTGCACAAACATTTATTCTAGTGTCATATCTTACTACACACAGTCGTTTATTCTTGTCCTGTGTTCATAAACACGCCTACTACACTGTCGGCGTATTTCACGTCTCCTTTATTTCTATTCCCTTATTTTCTCCATTTCCTTCTTTAAGCTCAATTCAACATTCTTCTCAATTACACAGACCCGATTTATTATTATTAATATTCTACCATTATTATTCTAAATTTTTTTTGGTTTTAAATATGGCAAGTATAATGCTAACATTATTGAAAATTGTGTATTATTGCATTTTCTGAAGAAACCCGAAGTGGTTTCTTCACAACACTTATTTACCCATAAGATGTTTGTGAATAATAATAATAATAATAATATCTTCAGATGTTCTCGTCCTATTATCTTTTCATTCGCTTATTAGTTTTGTTCTCATACAGGGAGCTAGCAAGAGCCGCGTGTGACAGCTGCAATAAAAATACATATGCTACCGAGTCGGAGCTATTATGTGGCAGCTGTAGACTACTGCCGGGTAGCAGATGGATGATAACCTTTGTATGTTGTGATTGCGCGAATTTCGTATGATATAACGCACTACAAGACCACACTATTTTCCGTTAACAAACGAAGTCAAACAAACCGACTGTAGATATTCTTCTTTCTTGCGTGTCTCGAACCTTTCAGAAAATTCCATTACCATCAAAATTTCTACAAAGATCCATTCATTAAAACGCTTGCCGCGACTGTAGTTACTTGCAGGCCGATTTAACTGAGAACCTGAAGATAATTTTTAGTAATTCCTTGTGGCAAGGTAACACACAGACACGCGTGAGAAAGTGAAGTGGACTATCAAGTGCACTCATTCATTTACAGACCAGTTCAGCTACAAGTAATTGCGGTTATCACCATTGGGCATGCATCGTACGTCATTCAAAAGAATACTGTGCACCTCAACTTTATGCTGCGACAAATCATCTTGCAATGAGACCTAAGAGGTAAATTACGACTAAGACCATAAAACTGCAGAACAACAATAAACTTGAGCGAACTGATAGGTAAGTGAGCCAGATTTTGACGAGGTTGCAAAATTCGATCTCAACACTTAGTTTAAATGAACAAACACCCCAAGACACCTAATACAAGTCAACAAAACATTCGCCCTCGGCTTTATCCCCGTTGTTTGTTGCTTAGTTTCTACTGGGAGACTTCAATAATATATTGTCAATAAAAATGACCATTTAAGTGAACGA